CACATCATAAGTTCGTCCTATATATTTTATGTACTAAAGGAAAAAAATAATGTATATGTAGCTTACTGCTTATATAAGTTGAAAATTATATCCGAAATATGTTAAGTATATAGCTGGTATGTATTTAAAAATCTATACAGGTAGGTAGTTGTTTATTAGGATTTTTCGTTATTTTAGGTTGTTATCACAAAAAAAATACTTTAATTATATCCTTAAATATTATATCTAGTTATACGTAATTATTAATTTAAATGTAACAAGCAATTATTAAGCTTATTTTTTGTTAAAATTATTGATACAACAAATAATCGTTTTAATGATCTATATGTTTTATAATTGAAATTTGATATTGGAAGTTCCTACATTTAAAATATTATGATATAATTTAATAATTTGCATCTAAATTATTACCATTGATTTATTATTAATATGTTTAAACGCCAATCAAAAAGCGTAGGATTAATGTCTAATGACGTAAAATGTTATCAGATCTTCAGACGTTGAGATTATTGAAAATGGTTTTTTTTTAAATTATTAAAGTAGTTAATATTGGATGAGCAGCGCACTGTTTATTTTCTCTCTCTGGCATATGCACAATATAGAAAAATGTACAAAAAACAATCTATTTGAGTAAACTTTGAGCAAAATCACCCACCAACAACTTTTACAGAATAATATTTTTGAGGGTTTACAATAATTATTCATTTGTCTAAATATTGTCCCAAATCAATAAATCATTTTAATTTACAAAAATTGTCTGTAATTTATACTCGTAAGAGTATAAAGTCAAATACTAATAAAATATAAAACTGATACGTCAAACGGCCAAACACTCAATATGATTATTCTCTATAATTTTGTGTAATAGACTGGTGCGATTTTTATTTATTTGAACCAGACGGGTTTATAATTATATGAAGATGAACATAATAAGTTGATAGTGTTTCATATAACATGTTATATACAAGGTAGAATAGAAAAAAGAAAATTAAAAACTAAATTAAAAATTTATATTTGCAAGAATGATAGTTAATAGTACGAGTATCATCAGTTTGTGCTTTATATAAAATAGTAATATGTTATGGTCAATTGCTAACTTGGTAGATACATAAAATATGACGAGTAAATAAAAATTATATTAAAATATGATAATGATTGATAAATGAAAAGGTCTATGTAATATTTATTTGACAAATACATTGGATTTTCCTCTAAGAAGTAAGAATACAAATTGTAAAATGAATGCGTTTTGTCAATGTTGCGTTCGTAGATCTGAGTAAGAAAACGAATTGTTTATGTATATTATTATATTAAACATTTTGGAAAAAATCTTAGCATCGATTTTGATAATTTATTCGATTTTTAGTTTATTTATTAATATTTAATACACAATTTATAATAATCTTGAAATAAACAAGATAAATACCCCCATCTGATTATTATTTATCTAAGATAATATGTTTTTCTACAGACCATTATTTGTTTTATTTAAACCTCAGATTGAAGTGAGTCATTATTTACTGTAAATTGTATTACTATTAAGTTTATACTTATAATTATTATTTATATGTATGATAAGAAAAATCGTTTTGTTGAATTCACGTTCACAATTTTACTAACAACCCGATATGCGTTAACTGATAACTAATCATCTATAAACGCTACAACTAACATTTCACGATTACGTTACTTACTTACTAATAAGTAATAGTATCAGACTCTGATTTGTATAATGATTAGGTGGTATAATTAAATCTTTATTATTTTTTATTGTTAAATAAAATATAAGTACAATCGCTCTTTTCTTATAGTAAATACTATTACTTATTCTATATTATCCAGATATTATATATTATATTATTGTACAATATGCATGTTGATATTGAACATTTTTAACTTTTTTGAAACTATTTTTGCATCAATTGATGTCATTGTATAAAATGACATTTTTGTTAAGAAAGTTAATGATTTTAACAATTTATATCGTAATTTTTTTTTGTTTTTTGCTATTTTAATGGCGATATATATTTTATACTTAATATTCATAAGCGAAATAATCTTATGAGTATTTAATAATAGGTAGGAATATTTATATAATTATTATATATAATTTAAATGTCTTAATTAAACTTAATTAATTATAACTTTATAAGTATTATTAAAAGTTCAGTAATAAATACCAGGATAAATTGTATATTTAAACCAACGAATTGTCTCTGTATTAATTGTTTTAAATTCTACAAATTTTATATTTATTTTTATGGTATAATTAAGGTAATTGCAAATCACATATTATGTGACACAAATATATATTTTTTAAACTATCTGTAGTGGCGTGTTTAGGAATATGGCTCCCAGAGTACACGATGAGGTAGCTCCCTTTTTGCATAATATTTAACACCAATACAACACAGACATAATTATAAGGTGATGTAAACTCCTATACAATACTATAAATACCCCCCCCCCCCCAACAATTTGCCTAATCTAAAGGCCCCAAAACTAATCGTATCATAAATTTGTTTATAAGACTTAAAAGCCACTCAACATTTTACTTTCGACACTCACTTTATAGTTTTAAATTATAATTTATTTCCGTGAAAATTGTATTAACAGACGTGAAATAAAATTTCAAAATGATTAGAGTAACGTAAAAATAAAAATTCATCATTATAGATTTATAAACTATAGTACGTAACTATAATAGGTAGTTTGGTAGCTTTCCAGCCCCTTTAGACTCAGAATTTGACAACTAAATACGACATATTAACCATCAAACGCGGACCACTAATGATTTGTATGGTTCTTGTGGTGAACTTATAATTCAAATTATTTATTTATAATTAAGATGAGTAAACTGAAATTAAACTAAAACAATAATTTTTTTAAACCTATGGTTTTTATCCTAACACCGCTTGTACATGTACGAACCTGCCGTGTGGATGTGAACGTGATCTTTTAACGTTATATAATGACCTATATTAAATTATCTGATTGGAGCGATGAATGTATTGGTCTTACAATGATGACACTAAGTTTTTTAATTTTGTCTATAACGACCTTTTGACTTTTATAGAAGTAAAAATGTTTCAATATTTGACTTTGAGGGGTTTATACTTTTAGAGCCAACGAGGAAACACTCAGAGTCCAACGGTCTATTATCGGCTGTAGTTTGTCATTATATAAAGCCATGATAAATATTAGTACCTAATTAATATTACTGTTCGAAAATATTATTTTTAAAACGTGTTTTTAGGAAACACGTCGTACATCAAATTGCAGTTTTAGATACCAGTTTATCAATAATGATTTTTACTTGTGAACGGAGTATATTTTATTTCTGTTAATAATAACTAATTAGGTATTAATTAAAACAATAAATACAATTAATACAATTGATGCAAAATATATAATTATGTAAAATATTTATTCATAAGTATTTTTTTTTATTGATAAAATATCCTTGGCGACTTGGGCCATTGGATTCACAAATAATTTAAATCGATAACATATTATTATGTATACTTATTCTAAATATTAGTTTTAAATTTTGGTTTGAAGATTGGCGGGCTGTGATGAATTGGATGATGTTGGCTATGAATTGAGAGTGATTTTGGAGTACTTCGGTGAGTGATTCGGGCAGGTTGTGACTAATTCTGATGTTGTGGTATAGTCGGCATTCAGTGAGAATGTGATTGATGGTGAGTTGGACACCACAGGCTGTGCATATAGGGGGGTTCTTCTTTGGTTATTAAGAAACTATGGGAGATTTGAGTATGTCCGATTCTGAGTCATGATTGGATAACTTCAAATGTTCTGGGTATTTCGATAGGGAATGTGCAATCGTCGGTGTTATATGTTTGATATGATTCAGTTTGGTGGAGTAGGATGATGTCCCTTTCTGGTGCCATCTTAGTTGGAATTTATTTGTTATGAGCATTGGTAGGAATGTCCCTGAATGAAGTTATTTGTGTAAGTGATGGAAGTGGAGACTGGAGAGGTGATGTCGGTTTTGGCTGCTAGATCAGCGAGCTCATTTTCAATGATGTTTGGGTGTCCGGGAATCCAGAAGAGTTTGATCTTGAAGTTATCGTTGTTTTGTGGAGTTAAAATTTTATTTTGAATATATAGGCCAATGTCTGGTGGGTTATAAGTATTTTTAATATTATTGATGGCGCTGAGGAATTCAGTGAAGATGATGGTGTCTTGGAAGAGGTGATCGGTTTTTAACTCTAAAGCTTACACATACGTTTTGTTTCCTAAACAAATCATGATTCTTAGAATACAATATTACGATTACACGATAAAAACGTTTTATTTTGTTTCAAACTCAAGATTATAAGGTCAGACATAAATTGTGATTATACCTACTACTGGTTACCTAAATGTATTATACACCTACTTGGGCGTCCTATATATGCACCTATATAATGACTAAACGACTGACCTAGTAATCACTATATATTTTCTCGTTACATTAAAAGGTTAAATGTCATGCCACACGCGATAAACATGCGTATCGCGTGTTTATAGTATTATACGAAACAATATTTTACACGATACATGTACAAATTAAAATGGTATTTTCATTTCAATTCGTGGGTAGATATATTGGTGTAAAATATAAATGGTTAAAAATCTGGGGGCTTAGAAATGTCAATCTCACGGGTTAGCATAATTAATTACACTGACCAGGCTTAGTTATAGGAAATATTCGGGGGGGGGGGCTTTAGGACTATTTTTGTGGGCTTAGCCTCCTAAGAATACCCTCCGTTTCACCAATTTACACTGGTGGGTACGTACTTAAATTTTTAAATGTTTGCAGTGGAAACATCTTTTTTTACATACCTACTGTGATCACAATGATATAATTTTTAAAATAATTATACTTACGTTTTAAGTAATCAGATTTAATATAATGATATAGGTACTATTGTACTCACCAATTACTGTAATATATATTATAATTCAGACTCATATTTTTAGTATAGACAAACAAATTTTATTGACCTAAAAAACCTTTATTATCACTACCTTTATAATTGATATTTCTTATATTGTATCCTGTCATCTAATACATAATTAATCAATATTATTATTAGTTGTACCTTTTTTATTTGGTATAAGGTGAATTAATTAAATAAAAAATTGAGTATTCTTAATTTATTTCATAATGTTATACAATATTAGTTATTACACTATAGAATAATATAGTTAAATTACATTACGGAGAATGACATATTAGTTTTAATAAAATATTAATTTATTAATTGATTATGGTGTATTTACACAATTGTGTACTTAGCTTAATAACTATTATTTAGTGTGTTTATGTTCTTCGTGGTTGTGGCCAGTATGATCACCTGTTTTATGGTCATGTCCTGTGTGATCAATTGCGTCGTGGTTATGGCCAGTATGATCACCTGTTGTATGGTCATGTCCTGAGTGATCAATTGCGTCGTGGTTATGGCCAGTATGATCACCTGTTGTATGGTTATGGCCTGAGTGATCAGTTCCTTCGTGGCTCGCGTGGCCATCGTGATTAGCGGGTTTTTCACCTTCGTGATGACAGTGAGCACTCAAACATTGTTGTATCAAAACAACTACCACGAAAAGTAACACCATCTAAACAAAATATTTGAGTTAGGTACAAATTTGCTTTGATGTCTAATTTCTAAATGTCAAGTAAATTTCAATAGTAAGAATAAAAATTATTATGAAAATAATCATTCTATTATTATACATATAGACACCTATATACTGATATTATGTATTCAGTACCTATATAAAAAATAAATGTTTTAATATTTTTTATGTTAATTTTATGAACGTTATAAACAAAATTTTAAAATTCATTTTATCTCGATTGTAAAAATACAAACATATTAATTAGTAGATTTAAATATTGTATCAAATTTATAAAAATCATTTTTATAAAATTACTGTATCCTTCAAACGTTTTTGAGCAGTTGCACACTCTTTAACAATTCTACCTACTTTACATTTTTGATTTATTTACAAATTATAAGTAGGTTTTATGATAACAATATTAATTGCGAGTAAAATAAAAATAAAAATTTTTTTTAATACATATTATATAACTAAAAAAAGCTTTGGCCTTATTTTAACTTTAGTAAATAGTTATCCAGAAAGGCTGTACATAAAATAAGTCAATGAAGAGTTACACTAGAAAAATTATTGCACAAACTAACTGAAAAATGTCTCAAGTTTCTATGTATATATTATTTTTGATAAAAGACTCTCGGCAGCATAGGATTTGGGTTTACAAATAATTTAATCGATAACATTATATATAATTAAGTCTCTAAACTGTGTAGGTACTCGATAACTTCAATAAAGGAATACAGAAATTATTAATAAGTTATTGAATTACATATTTTTGAAACAGACAGTTCAGATATTATATAAAAAGGAATTGTTGAATATTATTAATTTTTATAACTAATGATTTGTAACCATGCTTAGTCATTTTGTGTTATGAATAATAACAAATTACTTACCGAATATTTCATGATGTTGAGTGTAAATTAACAACTTTATAAAAAAAAATCTTAGATAAACACTATTTAACTGTTTGTAAGAACTGTGAGGAAAACCACTGTATACCACTATATAAATACACGGTGTTTGATGCGATAAAAAAATAATCTACAATAAATTATGTTGTTTTCTAAAAACTTTTCCCCTTCCATTAATATTGTTTTTAACAAACTAATTTATAGTTTTTTATATTCTCATAATATACTATTATTATTTGTTAACTTATATTTCTACGTGCCTGATACAGTTACACGATAACAGTTTTAAGAATTATATTCTACGTAATCGCGTAAATATATAATTTTTACGAGAATAAGTCGTTAAATAAAAATTACATTAAACCTTTTAAATTCTAAACAGACCACAGACGTAATTAAAATAAATATATTTTTAAATGTTATTTGTGTTTAACAGACAACATTTGAGGTAGTATAAAATGCTTTCATCTTAAAAAATGAAATGAGTTTCTGGTAAGAAATGTTATCTAGTTGATACTTAAAGGAAAGGGAAGGGAGGTGGGGTCTTAAGAGTAAAAATTCAACAATACTTTTCAAAAAATGATGAGTAAAAAAGTACGGTAAATGTGTACAATATCAGTTTCGATTGTTTGGATTGTTTGCAAAAAAGACATTTTTATATGCTAGAATTTTGTAAACGTCATCATTTCAAATATTATAATTTAGTGTTATTTATAGACATTTTAATTTTTGTACTTTTTTACAAATTTTCCGATGTTACTTTGCATGATGCAAGATTTTCAAGGAAGTAATTGGAGTGTATCGATACTTTTGGGTCAATTTTGAGAGTTCATGAAGTTACACGTGCTATATACAAGCGAAACGTATCGGACTAAGATTTCGATACGAGCCTGTACGTAACTATTGCTGTCGGTATGTAACTATTCCTTATTGATATGTATCGAATCTATTTTCTTGAAAATATGAATGCAGTTTTTGTTTACGAGTAAAAAGATTTACAATTTAATACATGGTTTTTTTTTATAGCAACGAAAAATATTAAAAAAACATTATAAGAATTATTTTTATAAGAGTTTGAATTTCAAATTTCAAACATCTAAGAAATTCTCAAATTATTTTGTATTTGAAAATTAACACAATTTAAAATTTAAAAACAATTTAGAATAAAATCATGTTAAACTGAACTTTTGAAAATTCAATTTTTTTTGTGTTAAGATTTTATATTTTAACCACGGAAACTTGAAACATTTCATTTTTTTAATTCAATTAAATTTTCAAAAAAATAGAAGACTAATTCTAAGCTATATTATATATATTTGAGCTAATTAAAAGCTTTAAAATGTTTGTATTTTTTTAGTTTTTTTAGAAGTTGAAAAAAGTGATCGTGTTTTATCAAAAAACTTGAAAATTAAATACAAAGTAAATTACATAAGTTTTCTTAATATAACTTAAGAACAGCCATATAAGTATCTACATTTTTTGTTTTTTATAGACATTTTAAGTTCAAATTTTATTGACATTTTATATTTCAATAAAAAAATACCATTCTTTCTTTCAATGGTTTTAGTTGTTTCATTATATGTATTTCAAAAAATATAATTTACAAGGAGTTTTTATATCCCATTTTGGTCAATTTTGCTTTCATAATGAATTTATTCAAATTCTGATTTTCAGAATTTTTAAGTTGGTATCTTTAGGTACTTAAGAACCATATTTTCATCCATTAATGTTTGTATACTTTTTTTAGGAGTGACCAAGGTGTGTAAAGCCATCTAAATTTTTTAGTGTAAATTGTTAGGCACTATTAAGCAGTAGAATTTTTTTGAAAATGTTAACGTATCTAAATCAAAAATTGGACTGGTAATTTATGAGTTATTAAAATGCATACACTACCTAGTCATAGTAATCCTATCATTATTAGAAAATTATAATAGTTTTAATACTAATATATTAGCATTTTATGATTGTTAAAATTATCTAAGTAGGTAGTGATTATAATAAGTAGGTTCTAGTCTGTATAAAACATCTATTTCATAATATATAGTATAAAAACAATAACTAAAGACAATTACCCTTTGTGTGTAACATTTAATAACTCAGAAAAAAACTTTCAAATATCGATTATTGCTTCAAAATGTTAAAAAAAATCGTATTCTGTTTGATAATTTACAGTAATAAGTTACAATATTATATGTATGTAATACTCATTGGAAAAAAAGGAGTTAGTATCGGCGACACGCGGCGGCATTCCTTATGAATGGTATTAAAAATCTAAGTTTTTGCAAATACGGGTTTTTAGTACCTATGTGTAATTAAAAATTCCAAAAATCAAAATTTGAACAAACGCATTATTTAAGAATAAAACGAACGATCTACCCAAGATGGTGGATCGCCCATTTTAAATAATATAGATCTATATATAGGTAATACAAGTTCATTATTCCTATAAACTCCCTAATATTTTGGACTCGTTACATTTATTTTAGTTTTATGTTTAAGTTACATAATAATTTATATAATCGATTAGTTTATTATATTACGCATAGTAGCTGGTACCTAACTTTACCGACCACCCATTTAGTCGGGACGGCGCATAATTGACTGTGGTTGGAAACGTAGAGCTTGCAGGTCAGTTCGGTGTACCTATACAATTTAGATGTAAGTATAATTTTTTTATATTATTACGGATTATAATAGTATCCTATTTTTTACAACCTCACTATTATCGTTACAGTCAAATGTACAAACAATAATGATTCATGGCCGATAACAGGATTAAAAATATTATGTTGGACTGGTGTAATCGTTTTATATCATATATATTATTTATAATATCATATTAAAACATTATATATTATATAAAGGTAGGTATATATATATACATGTATAGTAAATAATATATAGAGGCTAATGTTATGGTGTAACTGTGTAAGTATATTAAATGTGTTTAGTTAACATTAGATCGGTTATATAGCACATATAAATATATAATATATATTTATAAATATATATATATATTCATTCAGGAAGCCATAAAATCGTATATTTGTATCCAATTACACGTGTTTTTCGTAACACGCGGTGATGGTAAATATAATTATGTCGAAATAATAAAATAGCATAGGTACCTATAACGCATTTATACAGTGTAACGTGCATTTAACGATGAAAACAACAGCCCGTTATTTATCAAAGAAAAAATTTTATTTAAAAGCAATATTGACCTCAAAAGTCAAGTCGACTATTAACCGGTATAAAAAATGTCGATTTTGGTTAACCAAGGGTTGGTTGCGCGTCGCAAACAATTGGAAAACGACTGAGCCATCGGCGAGAGGACGAACTGCAGCAGCAGAAATCGACGGTAATATGTTCCTCGGATTGGACGAAAACAGAGACGTGTTGTTAAAACGTTTGAATGCCGGCCAAGATTTATACCCCAATTGTGATACATCGATTTGGCTAAGAAACTGTACGCGTGACATCCTGACTCCGATCCAGGGGAAAATCGAGGGTAAGTTGATGCGGGTTTAACTAATAAACATTTATGTCTATTGCCTCTTATTATGAGTTGCACCGTGTATAACATAGAGAAGATGCAATTCAATTGCATGACTATTATGCAATTCGCACATAATACACTGAGGTCTATTGGTTTTCAAAAATTATATTATCGATTTACAAATTTACAATAACACAATATTAATAATATTATTTAGGTAAGATACCGGAATGGTTATCGGGGTCGCTGTTACGAAACGGCCCGGGGAGTACACGAGTGGGAAATTCTGAGTTTAAACACATATTTGACAGCTCGGCTTTACTACACAGGTAAAAATGTTAACTATGAATTCTTAAAATGAATTTTTTATAATATTATATGATTTGTTTATACATTGTATTTACACTAACTATAATATTATGTACATTGTAAATCTATATGGTATTATAGGTTTGCATTCAAAAATGGAAAAGTATCATATCAGTGTAGATTTTTGGAATCAAACACATATAAACAAAATAAAGCAGCTCAAAGGATTGTCATTACCGAATTCGGAACCAGAGCGTGTCCCGATCCTTGTAAAACAATTTTTCACAGGTATGAACTAAAAAATATAGTTAGGTATCAACTGCAACCTTTTTGTTAATACTAAAATATTAGTTTTAGTGTAATACAGTAGAAACACAATATACACATTTACTAATAAAACAAAACAATAAATAATAAAACAACGTCATGAACTATAATCCATTCATCGTTTTTTTTACTTTACACACGTCTCTTATTTATATATTATATGCTCACTATAGAACACTTCAAAATTATTAGTAATGCAGTCTCATATATTGGAGGTGATTATATTTTATAAAGTCCTATAATGTTCTTTGGCAAGGACAAAAGTTCATTTAGAGTTGCTAAGTTTTAAGCGTACACGTGTACACAATAAATCAACTATTAATAAATAATATTAATATAATATGAGTCAAGTGCCAACACTAAATAACTAATTAGTTATGAATTTATGATCTAGTTTGAGTTTTATGCTTCAATTGATAAATATATTGGAGGGTAGATAAATGAAAAGTTGAAAAAATATTACCATTAGTATTACATTTTCATTAAACATTTGAATTTCAAAACATTAATCATTATTGTAGACTTGTTGATTTTTAAATACAATGATGTACAATGCAATTGAACAGCAGAGAATCTAAGGCTTTTCAATAATTGTCCTTCAATAATCCCAACATAGTTGCAACATATATCTACACTATTTGTATCGCATGGATTGAAGGTTATTATAGTATGTTTATTTATTTACTTCTAAAATTTGTCTTTAAAAATAAAAATGAAAAAATTTTAAATCTAGATCAAATGCAACCAATATGTTTTAAAGTTATGTCTATCCACCTAATTTATGGCATTAAATAGTAATAATTTAATTAGCCGATATAGTATATTCTACATTTAGGTTAAAATTTTTTTCCGTCTTAAAATAAGTACATTGAAAGAAAAATTGATGGTACGCATTTATTCTGTCATGAATAATACCAAATGTTTACTTATCAGAAGTAAATACTATTTTTTTAAATTTATCTATGATAATATATTATCTAGTCCTGTTAAAACTTTAAATTTTAGTTCCCAAATATAACAGATAAAAGTCACGTTAAATATAGGTATTTTTTTCTAAATTCTACTGATTGTTACGTATTTTATTATCGTACATATAATCCTTATAATATTGTTATTGCGTACACATAGCCACATTACGTCCTATAAATGTGTATGTATAAGTATGGAAAATTAATATCCACGACAAATCGATGAACGTGACAAATATTCTTGCACGGCTTTCATAAATGATATACTTATTAAATGTATTTACTGAATTAGGTTGACCAACAGGAAAAAAAATACCTGCAATGTAATTAAATAGGGAAAACAAAGAAAAATAAACAATTATATTAACTAAACGCCAATAATAAGCAATAATTATGAGTGACTAATAGCGCATAACTCTGTAGGTGGATATAAATCATTAAATGTAAATAAATCGAAAAAAGAAATCAATGTTCAACGCATTAAAATTTAATTGCAACTATTAGAAAACGAGCGTGGATAATAACGAGAGTTAAATATTTAATACTTATACATTTATTATACTAATATGACATTAATATTTATGACTTTAATAATTAATAATTATACTTTAAGTGCAAATGTATTTACAATTCTAAACCAATAGGTAATAATATAATAATCATATTTCAAAATCTCAAAATCTCCTGTACATACATCAGAGTTATCGCATATTTAACTGTCTTACGACTACATCCAACCAAACATTTAGAAATTTTTAACAATTAAGACCACACCCAATGTGAATTAATTTTTTTATGACCACATGGTTTACATGGAATTTGGTAACAGTAGTAAGAGAGTTGAAAAGTAGTGATCGCATATAAAGTCTCGGTCTTTAAGTCTTTTACTAACACATGTCATAGGTAGTATGCTTTAATTTGCAAATTGAACGTTGTGAAGAATTCCTTTTTTTCTGTTATTACTTTTAATATTATTTAGTAAATTATATTTACCATCAAATTTAGAGGTAATTATATTATCTAGATCTCACCCGTTCAGGATTTTTATGCTTTTTAGTTTTTAATACTGAAATAAGTAATTAGGACCACTATTTAAATTAATTGTATTTTTATTTCTATTTAAATATTTACACGGCCAACAAGGGAAATATCCATTGATAGAACCCAATGTGAATTTTTTTGTTTTCAATTTATTAACTGGGAATATTTTGGTAATATAGATAATTGTTTTGGGCTAGGTACCTTTAACCCTTTTTTGTATGTTAGCAATTTCGGATGTAATCTTGTGTAAAGTCTTAATGTACTGATTTTTAAACTATTGCGAGTAGTGTCGTTTGATATATACATGTACATACTAGGGTGCAGAAGTGATCAGACAGATCTGAACATTTAAGATTTGAGTTAGAATTACCTAAGTTATAGTTGTCCATGAAATAACACTCAACTGAATAAAAAGATACTTTTATTTTAGGTTTTCTAATGTATTTAAATGGGGAGACGACCAATCAGACAATGCGATGATATCTATTTACCCAATCGGCGATGAGTATTTTGCATTTACCGAGTATCCAATAATGATCAAAATTGATCCAACAACTCTCGAGACACTTAAAACTGTAAATATAATATAATATTAATATTAAACAATAATCTAATAAGCTTTTTTTATAGTATTATTTAAATAATACATTGTTGTTCAAAATATTGTATTTCAAAATAGGATCATATTACTTATGGTTAGGTACTTATTATTTAATCGTTTTTTAAAATTGTTTTTCTTGTATTAATTTATGATTAAACACGAATGGTAAGTATACGCATTGTGCAGTTGTGCACATTGCATCATAAAATATGAAATATTGGCTTACTTTATTATTTCAATTGAACAAGTTCCATGAATTTTGATACATATAATACGTAAATATGTTGCAATAATAATGAAAATCATATAGTATTGTTAAAGCTCATAACAATTGTTTAAAATTTTATTTGAATTTTATCTTTTACATACACATGTAAAGTACGTTCATATATATATTATTATGATATAATATGCATTTGCATATGCGTGTGTGGGTAAGTGCCAGCGTGTGTGTTGTTATAATATGTTGTAATATTATCAATCATGATAAAAATGTAAAAATATACTTAGAGATATGATTGTTATTTCTCATTCTCACATTTAAGCACGTTTCGTAGTTGAACAAATTTATAAACAAAAAAATGTTGTGCTTGCGTTGCTAGTAGGTAATAGGTAATAATTAATTGGTATATTTTTACATAATTGATATTAAGAAGGTGTCAGCGTATTATATATATTTGTTTTCTTTCTTTTTCCCACCCACACAAGAAATTTTCGTTCAGCAGAACCAACCTATTGTGTTGTTAGCTTTTACAAAAGAACGGACCTATTATAAAACTTAAAATTGATAACATTATATCTGCATTAGTACGTTGCGATATTTTATTATTGTCTGCAATAAACGAATGTTTTTAAATTGTAATATTTCACGTATGTCGTATTCATAATACTGGCATATGAAAATTGAAAAATCGTAAAAAAAATTTTAATATAGTTAATGATATTATTATTTATTATAATTCATAACTTAAAGTTTCATAATATTGGTCAATTAATTGTAATGTTTAAAAGTACCTATTAACAATGCCATATGCCCATAGATTAGTTCTGCCGACCGCCAATTCTGAGAATGAAAATAAATAGTACTCTGACATCTTTGTAACGGACATTTTTCCAATTAGATAGACATTGCTCGTCTGAATGGTATTGTTCATCATACTGCTCACCCACACGTGGCAGCCGATGGTGCAGTTTTCAATTTAGCGACTGTTCCAAAAATTGACGGACCTCATTATTGCGTGGTTAAATTTCCTCGGGTTGATTCAGGTAGGGCCCCAAAAATATTTCAAAGCACTGTATTTAGTAAGTATAACACGTTTCCACTAAAAAAGTCTTCCAATAGTGGTACCACCAAAAATGTTTTTACCATAAAATATAACATTTTCTAGAAAATAAGAAAAATGTTGTGATTTTAATAATCTAATGTGGAATAATATAATTTTTAGGAGAGGGCTAATAAAAAATGTCATAACATTTAAATTTGTATTGCTTGCACCAGAGTTATCTTTTATATTTATTATATATTTATATTGCCACATATAATTTAATATTAAATGCATACTACTGAAATAAATAACATTTTTAACAACTTTTTGTTTATGTTCATTCACTACAAATACCTTACATCTGTATATGGTCCCTCATATCCTTTATATCATATATTATTATTGTGATCAAGTCCAGTCCAAAAATTGCATACTTCAAGAAGATTTTTATTTTAAAAGCTGTTCATATTTATTTATCTATATTTCGTAAAATATGTATAGGCAAAAATAAGGCTGATACGGGGGCAATGGGGCATGGTCCCTTTCTCACTCCCCTGGCTATATTACTATCTACATACGTTTATTGAGTAAATTCTTTTTATGTTTTCCAAGAAACCGGATGCCAGTATTCGACGGATGAAATGTTTGGGCGAATGTGCATCGTGGCTACCATAAAGTGTCGGTGGCCCTTGCATCCTGGGTATATGCATTCCTTCGGCATAACGGAACATTATTTTGTCGTAGTCGAACAGCCCTTAAGCATTTCAGTGTCTACTGCCGTGGTTAACAAATTCAAAGGAGATCCGCTGTCGGGTGCACTAAAATGGTTTCAAGACTGCCCCGTAAGTGACAATTTTCGGTTATTATATAGTATATACAAATGCAACAACAACACGCGTATGACACGAATGACATTAATATTTAGAGCACATATTATATGGACTATACATGCGTACCAATAATATGTAACATAAACAATTTTAGGTTTAAACTGATCCTTCGCCACCACTACTTCAGAGGATGATGTAGACAATTTTAATGACATTTCGTAAGGAATTCAAAGTATTCTAAAAGTGGTCCCGTGGCAGAAAGTACCAACAATTACGAAATAGAAAAACGGTTTCGTGCTGCAGGATAAACTTGTGGACACCGTGTTTAGTGTTTACTGCAGATTTACCTATTTTTCACAATATCAGCAAAAGATCTTTTTTGTCTCTTTAATTAATCCGTGTCACAAGTTTAATTATTTTTTTTACATCAGTATTCACAAATTTGTGACTTGCACCTAATTAATGTATGAAAAGGAAACAATGAATATTACGAATGAATGATTTGGATTGCCAGGGCCCCGCATTATATGTTGATACAGTATTTTGCTCATCCAACTTTAAATACTTAAAAGTTATAACTAATAAACTACCTGTCCAATATTTAATTTTTCTACACCAAAATATCATATAATGTCATTCAAAACAGTAAAAATCTCAAAAAAGTGTACAGAGATTAAATGGATCATTTCGTATATAAACATAAATATTATAAGTTAATTGTTATAATATATCATATCCAATGTTTCCTCTGTAACTCTGTGTTAACCCTTTGTATACTTATATATTGTATAGACTTTAATTCACTTGATTTCACGATCTGACGGCAAAACAGCAAAGACATTTAAATCGGATGCGTTCTTTTATCTCCACATAATAAATCAGTACGAAGAAGATGATCACATAGTGATTGATATTTGTTGTTATCGAGATCCTTCCATGATCGACTGCATGTTCGTCGAAGCATTACAAGTACATTTTTAAAATTTGTTAAAATTAATTATTTAATTATAATGATTTAAATCGTTTTGTGAATTGACTTATATATGAACAGTAAAAGTCAGTAAACATCCATCTCCGCTATTTAAGTGGTTATTATTTAAATCTCTGCACGGGGGGTGTACATTCGAATATATGTTAGGTGCCAGTATGATTAGGTTACAGCCTATATACAGAGTGATCTAACAAGTATGCTGACCCCCCTTTTTTCTTTGATAATGAAGTTTTTCAAGATCTGATTTTTGGATATAATTATATACTATCATATACTACTATCATATTTTCATATTCTTGAGATTTTTTTGTACCACTTGAGGAGTATCCTGTGGCGACATAAATTTTTATTTTTCAAATGGGAACCCCACTTTTTTACAGTAAATTATTTAGCGGATTTAGTCAAACACTTAGGTAAATAACAAGTAAAATCTTTCTTGATTTATTTAGTTATTTTTCTAAATCCATGTGTAGAACTGTATAAGCATACTCCTATTATTGACTATTATCCTTAGTACAAATTGTCCAATAACTAGGAAACCACTCTTTCGAATTTTGATTTCGATACATCAAAGTTCTCAAAAAAATACTCGAAAAACTTCATTATTAAAGAAAAAAAGGGGGTGAGCATACTTGTTGGATCATCTTGTTGATAGATAACCAAACAAGGTATTATACGTGGTGATATACATATATTAGATATTAATAATTAATCATTGCAAGTTGCAACATTGTTATCGCCATCCGCAACGACCGTTCATTATATTAATGTACCACAGATTATAGTATAATTTAATTTACATTGCCCATACTATTTTAAATTGTAGACTTTTCTTCTTTGTTCTTATTATTTATAGAGTATATGACATTTTACACTCGCTAAATCGTTATTATCAAACCAACTTAATAGACTTTTATTTCAGAATCTCAACAAAAACCCAGATTATGCAGCTATGTTTCGCAGCAGGCCTTTGAGATTCGTGTTGCCAATTAACCGCGACAATCCTACAAGTGGTGATATCAAAAACGACCACTTGTGTGTCTCCCCCGAAAAGCTATGCGATTTGGGTTGTGAGACACCCAGGATTAATGAATTCAAAATTGGGAAAAAATACAGGTTTTTTTATGCAATATCATCTGACGTTGACGCTGAAAACCCTGGGACGGTAATTATATTGTTGTTCTGTGGTTGAATTCGTTAAGATTTATGTAGGTTCTACTCGGGACTCGGAAGTTGTAAGAGTTGAATTTTATTCTATAATTTATATGCTCTCGGTTTATAGCAAAGGAAGCTAGAAATCTAAGCTATACAATGGTGAGTTTAAAACTCAAAATTGTAAAGTGCATAATTAGCATACTTAATTTTAAGTATTTTAAGTATTTCATTTTACCACATTTTAAGGGAAAAGTGCATGTTTCTTGATTTTCATGCACATTTTATGCATATTTAATATTTTCTAAAAAAAATTATCTTTTTTTCTTAAACTGTTTCTTTTTCTTAATATTATTGAATATATAACTCGATATTATTTAATGTAGGTAGGTATTTATTGTTATCGTCTAAGTCGACTATTAATTTATTTATTTAACTACAACGGCGCTATGCACATTTAATCTCTATCACGCTAATATTCTGATGTACTATATTTTCAAATATATTTTTTTCAGTTTAATACAATTTCAAAATGCCAAACAATTTCCCGCCATATTTAAAATATTATACATTTATTTTTCAATATTTTATATTTATTTTAGTGCAAATTAATAAGAACATAAAATGGTTTTTTTTTTGGAATTTTTAACTTTTATGAATATTTATATAACATTTTTTCTATTGGATATTTTTGCATGCATATTTTTAATTTTTTTAGCTCCTATAACTTCCAAGACCCGGCTGAGTTATGAGAACAAAAAACAATCATGCATAGATACAAATTACATATTAATATATTATATTATTATCATATTATAAAAACATATATAAGTATTATATAATTGTTTTATCACTTTTTTTAAATTAGCTCATTAAAGTGGATACGTACAATAAAACATGTAAAACATGGTGTGAACAGAACGTATATCCTAGTGAACCAATTTTCGTTTCTTTACCAAACGCTGAAGTATGTATAAATCATTTTCATAAAATCGAATATTATTTGTCTATATTATAGTCTATAATCTATATACAACAACAAATTTATATAAATATGTTTTTTTATATTAAATTATGATTTAAAAAAAATAATAACTGACGAGTTCTATAAAAAAAATGCATTAATTTAATGGTCTCCTAAAATGGTGTCCACTATATATAATCATGCTCGAGGGATCATCTGCTATTACTATTGAAGATTGTCATTCCTTAAATGTGTTTTTAGTTCAACCGGCATCGATCTACTTTTATTATAGTAAATCCGATTAAATTTTATTTAGAGGATGTCAGAGCACTATTTGTTTTCTAATTTTCTTCCTCTGACCCACTCGCCAAATACCAAATTTGTGTTCAGTAGATCTAACCTTGTGTAGTTAGCTTTAATATTAAAACGAATTGACCTATTATCAAACAATTAAAGTTTATAACAATATCTGTGTTCTTACATCTTGCGTTGACTTATTAACGATATTTAAATTTTAAAATGAGATGAAAATTTTTAAATTGTAACATTTTACATACTCATAACTCAGATAAAAATTGAAATATCGTAAAAAGCAAACTCCCGAACACATGGATAATGTACATAACTTTAAGTTTGATCATATTGGTCAATTCACTTTAATATTAAAGCGAACAACACAAAGTTGGTTTTACTGAACGAAAATTTGCTACGTGTTGCGCATATGCCAGACAGAGAAAATATAGAAGACCGATAATGTGACACTATGATGAAAATATAATTCTCTAATATGTTTATAAGTAAAAATTATTAAGTGTTTGGTGATGTGCCCGTATATGTAAACAGGATGAAGACGACGGTGTAGTTTTATCATCAATCATTTGGGGCGGAACAGAGTGTGAAAACCAAGCTGGAGTAATCGTTTTGGACGCAAAGAGTTGGACAGAGATAGGGCGAGCTGTTTTCGTCACTCAGTCACCAGTTCCTAAGTGCTTACATGGCTGGTATGCTGCTGCTGTATAGAAAACTTGTCATCTAAATATACAGTTATAGAGAATATACTTATTTTTGATAATTATTATTGATCATCGCAATCGATTTTTAAATCAATATCTATCAAACTAACTATTATAATATATATTGTTTTATATACTTGCATGTTATATTAAATGTATTTTACTATCATGTGTTTTGAAATCTTCTTGTTGTATTTGAACCACAGAAAACAAGAAAAAACTGTTTTAACGCTATCTGCTATCTGTGGTACATGATGATTATTTCTCTTTCATACTGATTATTTACAGTGATAAAATTAAATATTTTTCTATCATTTGATAACACATTCCACTCAATATCTGAATTTGTCATTTTTTGTGACTTATGTCGTTTCTCAAATAGGTGGTTCATTTGAAACCAGTGGAATTATTATAGTATAGACTACAAGAGGTTTATTTTAATCCCAAGACTTATTATGATCTTTTGTAAATAAACATCTAGTCATTCTATTACTTCTATCAGGTCGTGTATTCGAGAATTTGATCAAACACACAGCACAATATAAATGTATAGGTATATGCATATAATGTAATATAATGCAGCCAATATTAATATGGCTGGGTTATGCTGTAGAAGTCTTAGGTGACACAAATTAACTACTCAAAATACTCGAATCAAAATAATAAATTACACTGATTATTGCTCGTCATGAAAAGTCCAGTCGTCGCTCGTAGGATTCGGTATAGAGATGTTGTTACTCTGTTTGGTGGTGATAATGCACTGACGAAGAGACGACCCAGAAGGGTCTGGAGATTTCCGATTTCTACGTGCGACAGTTTGGCCGTTATTTATTTATCTGTTATATTTTAAAGAATTGTGTGAGTATATCATTACACTTTTATACAAAGAGAACTATTAAATTTAATTAATTCTAAAGAAGTGTGAAGTTTTCCTGCTTCTAGCCAAACTTAAATGATAGTCCCGAGAAATTTAAATATTCACTTTTTATGTATAAATGCATAAATGTTTTGTATAAATTAATGTTGATAACAGTAGGAAAAATAAATGAACGGTGTAAAATAAGACTAATATTTTAATATAAGAAACATTGTATTTAACCATGTGTAAAATATTTTATAAGTTAAACCAGACACTATTATCAAATGTTATCGTCAAACGTGACCTGTTTTAAACATGGCTGTTTAGAATACATATTGTATAGAACATACGCTATCGGTTCATTTGCGGTCACTTATTTTTCTTTTCATTAGCGATCAATTATTTAAAATGGCTTAAATACGAAATGATGACTGATGCATGTAGGTATAGTATATATGAGTTCATTAAATTATTACTGTAATGATGAATGAATGACGTTGATAAATCGGTAGACGATAACTGTATACCTAACACGTGGAAAATATTTCCTAACATAATTAATTGTACAACACAATAATTATGTTGTAATTACAAAATTATTTTGTTCAGAGTATTTGTTTAATCCATCCCTTTCTAGGCAGGGTTTTTTTCTTTAAATCGGCCCCTGTAACTTCTTCTAACCTAGGAGACCCGCTGCGGAGTATTTTGAACCACGTTTAAACTTATATCAAGTATCATATCCAATCCACATCAGCTGTCAGATTGTCCATCCGAGTGAAATTAGTTCACAAAGCAAAGTGAACCAAATACTGAGAGCGCTTAGGATTTTTTAAAATTCACATTTTAAAGAGGTGCTCTCACAAGAGTTTTGAGATTAAAGATGGAAATTTTTTTATTTGTAAATGTTACTATTGGTTGCAGATCACAATAGTAATAGTAGGTAGTAATTTGTAATTTTTTTTTTTCATAAATGCTTGCCATTTTTGGTATCACTAGTTAGTAGTTACCAATTTTTAAATATTCTTTGAGATATCAGAAGAGTTTAGAGGGTAGATAGTTTGAATTACGTTCGAAAATATATCAAGTGCCATATCCAATCCACCTCAGGTATATTACACATTTAAATCGAATTAGTTCGCAAAGCGTGGTAGACCGGCTTCAACTGCTCAGGGACTAAGGTACTAACACTATACCTACACCAATGAAATAGCACTGTATATTGTGTATTTAGTCATTATTTTTTCAAGGTCGAAGTCGGGTTATACAGCTAGTATAATAGGTATACCACATAGGTATCAGCTGCAGTCTACGGTGGATCAGTACTGAAATCGTCGTAATGACGATTTTCCGTCCAACAGCAAAAACGACGACGACGGCGGCGGAGGCGATGAAGTCGAAGACGACGATCCGCGGAAGGCAAAATGCGTGGCCGATGCGGCGTTCATGACGTTGTCGCGGTGGCTGAACGGGTACATAGCCTTTGACGGCCGACCGAAGACTGCGATCTCGCACCGGACCACGCCACTGTGCAGCGGATCTTGCGAGCGGCGGCCGAGGTCGGCGGCCACGAACCAACCGGTGCGCGTGGACAGCAACTCGAGCGTGAACACGGCCGCGGCCATCGAGAAGCCGCACACTACCACCGCGTAAGTGGTATACAGGTCCGAGTTGCGGAGCTGCCGCTCCTTGCTGCCCAAGTTCAGAGGGCAGATGACCGCCTCGGGCAAGTCTTTGGTCTGCAAATGCCTCACGATGCCCGACTCCATGTATGACAGCATTCTGTATATGATATCAAAATAGTAATTTTTAATATTAACATAATGTAGATTGGTAATATTTAAATTGAAAAAAATCTCTATTTTATACCAAAATCGTAATCGTTTCTTGATTTGTATACTTACATCGATTACAATATTTGTAATCGACATTTTAGAATCTAAAATTTAACAAAAGCCATTAAGTCTATAATATTATTCATTGATAGGTACCTAATTATATAAATTATTACTTATATTATCTAGCTCTATGTCAATGTTAAGGGCAATTTGGTTTTGCTTAAGAAACTTGAATCACAAATACAAATAAATTATTTGTTGTCCTAATTATATTTCGTATTAAATGTATTTTAACTAAAAACTGAATTGATTACTAAATATTTATAAAATAACAATACAAATTAATACAAAGGTCCTCATTAGTATCTATTATAGTAATTTAATAATATTAAAAAAAAATAGACCCGAATTTTCTGAAGTGAATACCGTTATATAGGCAACAGTGATCCGTTTAATGTTAAGCGTTAAACCTTCACTCGCACCTGCTATAGTCTATATTATATACTTTTACATATATTATTGATATTTTGGTATACTATGTTTCTTGTTTACCTATAAGTATTATTTTTCTGAATTATTATCGGTCTACTATTGAACCAATATTTGACTATATAAATGCGTATTTTAAAATACGTGGACGTATATATAAACACGACCGAAGTGAATGCCTAAATGAATATTTAACTTTGATTGCATGTAAATAAAACATTTTACATTTGTTTTTAAACATCGATTTGTGTAGCAAGGAATGAGTAAACGAAAGTAGAGAAGCGCACAGTGCTTCTTGTACCCCGTGGAACTATCCCTGCAGGCGGTTAGTATAGATAGTTGTTTAAATAAACACTTACATTGGATTGAAAAGTGGTGGTAAAATACTGTGTTTAGGGTAAACAAATGACATTGATCTTGTCAAATATGGCTCTGTAGTCAACACATAACGACACCGTTCCTTCTCATCCGTTATTGACCTTTCGATGTGCAACATCAAAAAATTTAGCCAATTCTTATCGTGTAGAAGCAACGTTCCTATAATATTGTATACGTAATGTGAAAAAAAATGTATTCAAAATTAGAGTGGATCATTTTTCTCCAAAAATGAGATACCGTTTTCCTTCACTGTTCATATTCCGCCACAAAAATATATAGGTAGGTACTTTAATACTTTATTACATTTTCCAGACACATTTTGTATCACTAGAATCATGTCAATTTTGGTTCAAATGTTAAAATTATTTATTTATTTTTAAACATTAAAAATATTATTTTTATTTGTATTGTACTATTATGTATGCAACTATATGAAATGACAATACAGATTTTTTGTCTTGTATTCTCATATTATATAACACTCCTAATATTAATAATAATACCAATAAACTATAAAGATAACTCAAATTGCTGATAATTTGTAAATAATATTTAATTTAAATTAATTTCATATTTAATGTTTACCTATTATACTAATATAGTCTATAGACAATAATATTCAGAAGATGATTGATACCAATATAAATTAATAAGAGGGTAACAGTGTAGAGGAATACGGTATATTTGTTTTTTTGGAAGGAAATGGCTACGGCCCAAAATTATACTAATTGTATAATATATACAGACATACAGTAAATCATAATATTATACCTTATACTACTAGACAAGCCATGAGTGTATGGAAAGGTAACAACATACTTTTTGATTACTTGTACGTAGGGTAGTGCAGAGTAGCAGGGTAAAATCTATAGATATTTAGATTATTGTATTTTTGCGTAAAGACAGTTTACAATGTTTACATCACTACTATATTATGTTGTTACGCAGCCCGCATGCAGCTGTTGTTATACACAGTTCTTGTCTAGTAGTATGAGGTCTATGCAATAAATACAATCAAACATTTTAAACAGTGTAATTATTTAAAAAAAATTAATTATATTCATCCAGAAAATAGATTTTATTTTATTTTCTTACCTGACGAAATATATTTTAAAATTGTATCAATTTCGTCGATATTTATAACCATAAATTGACCATTTCCCTCAAACATTGATTGTTTGAGTGGCTTCAGATCGTTGTCCACCTTGACGATGTACTCGACGGCACTACCCTCTGAAGAAATCCATCGATACTCATTACTCGCAATATCATCTATTCTTTTTATTGGTAACGTGAATTTGGAAAGTGTTAAAAACGCAGTCAAATTGGCTGTATAGAATGAGGTCAATATCATTATGAATATCCACCATGTGGCGAATATGAGTCTTGCAGAATCTATACAAACGTTTATAGTTTAAAATCTCAAAATTATTTGATTATACAACCAAACATCGGATAAAAATGTATGATTTACAAATGTAGTACTTATTTGTATATCTAGGTAGATTCTTATGTCATATAATAGTAATATAGTATGTATAGAAGTTTATATACAGGGCTTAAAGTAACACAAAATGGCAATGAATAATACTGTAGCGTGCCACCTGCATACTATTTTGAGTGTTCTATATAAACTTCAATAATTCTTACTACCCAAAAATATTAATTGTATTTCACTATCGTTGCCGACGGTGATGGAGGGGAGAGTTAGGTTCTTGTATTTATAATCACTAAATTAGTAGTAAAAAAATTATTTATTGGAGGAAATTGTTTGATTCAAATTAAAGGCTGCAGTGAACTAGCGTATCTTTTGGAGAAAAAGCGGTCAATTATGTGAGGGAACTGAGCCTTCTTCCATCTTTATCACCACTACTTAATAAACTCTGTATATTTTATAGGAAGATAATATTAATGACCACATTTAATTTATTCTATATATATATCTACAGTTGTGGTAATAATTATATTAAAGTGCAATATGTCGGGGCTAAATAATATTGTTTAATTATGCAATTATATATAGGCAGTTGGTACATATTATTACAACAGTTCGATATCCAAATCAAAAGCATTTGGTTGTATATTGAAGATAATTAATAATTATAATTAGGCATCTATTTAACGAGCTATGGTACGTACCAGTATCTGGGTTCAAAGATGATCCTTGTTTCATTAACGCGCCATATACGAACCAAACACACGTGGGTATTGGATATATTATCCCTGAATCGTGACCACAGAGTTTATGCCTTAACATCATAATACCGTAAATAATTGGACCGACTGCTATCAGTGACATCAAAATTAATAACCATACCTATAATAGGCCAATATATTGTAACAAAAGTCAATTTTTGAGTTATAATATTAATTGGATCGATAAATTATACATTTATATTTTATTAAAATAAACAAAAAGTAGATTTATGTCTTTGACACAACCACTATCATCGATTATTTAATTAGGTAGAGACTTTTTTAATTATAATACTACCTCCATTTCAAAAGGAGCTAATAGACCAGATCCAGTAGCACTTTCTTTGGGTCTCTTCATAAGCACAACATATTGAAATTGAGTCAAATCAATGCCCCACTTGACAATGTCGTCCAGTCCCGGCAAAACCGGTATAAAAGCAGCTGCCATATCTACTTCCTTAAACAATATATGATACTCTATAATAGATGTATAATATTTATGAATAAATGAATTAGGTTATCGTAAAAAATGAATTTACATTTTCCTAATAAAAATACACGTGACGTGCGCCACGTTCAAAATTTCTTTTTTTAACAAAAAAGAAATAAAATGAAAAAAATTTCTGTTTCATGATTTAAAATGTCGAAATAAAGTATATTAAATATTTAACCATGTATTTAATGTATTGTAGTTGACGGTATTGAAATTTGATTCTGGTATCGGGATCGGTACCGGTGTACATATGAAGTTATACCGTTATACTAGTGCGCTGGTACACCGGTACGTATCAGAGTACCGTAAAACCAAGATACATAATAGAGTAACCGGCATTGATTAAACCACAAGTATAACAAATACTGAAATATAAACACAAAAATTTGCATCAACCCCCACATTTTTCATTCAGATCTACGTAAAATATGTCCAAACGTACGTTAAAATAAGCACCCGACAAACGGTATAATAATAATTGTATGTATAGTATTGCTGTCGTGACTACATTTCACGTACGTAACGTCGTAACTACATAATGTGGTCCAGCGATTTAATAAAATAATGAAATACCTATGTTCAACCAATATTAATTTTCCTTTTTATAGTAATCCCAGTAGCCAAATGGCCAAATATATAATATATAAGGTACCTGATAGGTATAAATAGATTGATCAAAAAAACGTTAACAATAGACAAATCGTATTATTATTGTACAGTTAGTATGCATAATGCATCTTATACAGTGTTCTAGTGTTCTTATAATTATACGTTTATACAAAACACACACTCTATAAACAAGTTCTATATTCTACTTATAATTATTTTTGAGCTACATGTTTAAGTGTTTTATTTTTTTAAACGAATCATGTAAAAAAAAACTTGTTTTTACACAGCTTTTATATTAAATAGTTATTTAAATATTATTTTGCACTCTAATAAATTATGTCTATTATTGCATGTTGATAATTATTATAGGTATATATAGATAATATATTTATATGTACCTTCTACCGTCTTTAGATGTATTGATTTTAATATTTTCCTAAACAAGTGACCGTTGGCTATTGGTTATTGTTTTGTATATAAAGTAATTAAAATAATGAAGAAGAGTTTTAATATATAATGAAGTCAGTAATCGATGTATTATATTGAATAAACGTAATATTAAGGGGATAATTGAAAATATGCATTACCAATATTATTGTATTCTCTCTCCATTTATAGGTATGGTCCTAATAGTAATTTTTGTTACTGAATGAACATATAATTATCTATCATAAAAATGTAAAAATATATTTATCGATTTTTATTCATTCAATGTATGTAAAAACTACATCAACACCTTGTTAATTTAAAAACAAATAAGTAATGTTGTATAAAATACTACCTAGTACCTACTTATATGAGTTCTAGTAAAATTCAAATTTGTATATTTATTTATGTATATATATTTTTTTTATTGATCTTAAGCCCTGTAATTATGTGCATTAACTGTTTTTAAGTTTACTTATTACTGTGGGGTAGGGTATGGTTGGTTTATATACTCATATTATCAACCTACTATATACTGTCTATTATTGATCATTTAGGTTTTTCGGAATAACTAATTTATCTTCAACAAACCAACATCAAATTTTTTTTTTTTTTGCTTAAATAACTCGTATACAACGAGTTTTAAGTTGCACACATCTCATCTTGAGTTTAATTATTTTATATCTTTAGTTAATTAATATAGTTTTCAGTACCAATAATTGAATGATGTATAATAATTATAATTTATATTATTTGTAGTGTGATTCAATTGATTATCATAATACAGTAGAATAACGATAACTCAAATTTCGAGAAAGTAAAAACCTTGGTAACTCGAACTTTTTCACTTATCCCTTGAGGTGTATAGATATGTTATGAGAAAAAGTTGAAATTGAGCAAACCTATACTCTGTAACGAAAGAAAAAACACCAGTTCTGAGCCCTTGTTTCCCCTTCCACTGGTCATTACCAATGCCGCTATGTGGGAGATGCGCGTCGACTGATGTATTCTCTTTTGGAACGGAGTATAGTAACTATATAACTGTTGTGAGTATTGATCAATATTCCAAAGGAGCAAAACCATAGAGACTAACAATAAAGACAATTTTAGGATTTTACTACGATTATCAATATACGATTATTATTTATAAATGAAAATGAATATAAAAATGAGATAGGAAAAGAAAGTGAAATTGAAAATAGGTAAGAACAATATCAACAAAATAAACATTTTAAAAGAGTTATGGTAAAATCTACCATATGATTTTATTGTGGTTAAACATAATAATAATAAAAATAATGGTAAAACAATCAAAATTCCAAACTTCAAAGCGTTATAACTTTGAAACTAAGTCCGACCGACAAATTCTGAATGCAATATTGTTCTTAACTATAGATAAAATATATAGGTTTCCGAAACTTTTTTTCCAAAAATCGCTTGGAGGTTCATCTTCATTGTTATTCCATATTTAATTATATTTATGCAATAAAGTGATTATTTAACACTAAACACTGATTAGTGTAATAGTGTTAACTGTTTATTACGATATAATATTATCTTAGTAGTTAGTAATAAGTATAGGTAGCATAGAGGAGTGAGGGTTTTATGTAATATTTCTATAAAATATACTATGCTACCTAATACTTAAAAGGCTATAAATAATAATATTTACAGTTATAAATAAGTACTTCAATATGGCTTACCAGCTTTCAAAAAAAGTTATTGAGGGATACGACACCCAAATCCCCCCATCGTAATTACACCACTATCGAATTGTTTTTATCCGAGAATCCGAGATTCCGAGTTTAAAAAATTCAAATAAAAATAAATAAAACAAACTTGAACAATGGCCTTTTATTAACAAACTAAACTGTATTTATAAAAGTATTATTTTTATGTCTAACTTGATATTATACACATTCCAAGAAAAATAACAAACCCATAAAAGGTCGACTATAAAGGGGTAATATACGATTGCGAATGGAACGATTGCGAACGGATCTTTTCCGGTAACACGTTTGCGAACGTTTTTACCTTCCTTAAATCATGCGGTGTTGTCAGATTTGGTACCAATAACAAATTTTTAAATAATAATTTAAAATTAATCATATAGTAATATAAGGATTTTCTGCTATTACGCCGGGCGATAAGATAGATAGGTACGATGTAGAATATCTATAATATTATATCTTTATTAATTTGATGGAAAATTCTTGTTCCTTCCTACTTTAATTTTACCAGTTAATATAAAATCTCTAAGTTTTTATAATTATTTTTTAGAACTACTAATGGCCCAGAGAGCTTTCACAGGACGTACAATGGTCAGTTTTATAGCCCCCATCCTCCAACACACGTAGTTATATTAGTTTTAAAAGAAATACAAGCTCAAACTTTGGCAATAATTAATTCTATTAAAAACAATGTACATAAGCCTATGGCCAAAAAAGATAAAATTTTAATGAATCAACTTTACAAAATTATAATGATTATAAAGTACACAAAGATCTAATTTTATATTTAGAAAAACTGGAAATTCCTACCAGGGAAAAAATTTTAAAAAAAGTAAAAATGTAGAAAATTTTTTTTAAAAACTATTATTTTGAGTGTATTATTATGTATAATATTATTTTTTCATTCAGAACTCAGATATTATCAGTATTATTAATATTTATACAACGAAAACAGTTTTAATTAATCAACATTTTAAACATTACTTATTATTATTTTATTTTAGTTTGTAACGAAGAGTTGTTGTCTTAATTGTATTATTAATAGCAATAGTTTATATTTAAAAAAAAAAAATGTTTTAATTGAACTACTGAACAAAACATATTCAGAAATATAAACTTGGCAACGTAGTATATAAAAACGTTCGCAATCGTTCGTTTTTCGGCTAAAAAACAAATTCTCTGATAAGCGTCATTCGTTCGCAATCGTGTTATAAAAAAGGTAAAACGTTCGCAATCGTGTTGTACCCCTATACAGTTGTTATACATTTATAATTTTATTTATCTATAGGCTATAATATTCAAGTCCAAAAGTATAAATCGTCTATATGACAAGAATTTCGTTTGCAATTCCAGGGTAAAAAAAATTTAATATTTTTTAATAAGTATTCAAATAACCCATATTATTAAATATAAAAAAATGGAATTATTTCTTTTAAGTAATTTTTTTTTTTTTATCTCACCCCGTGAACTAGCATGTAGATGATGCTGCCATTTTCATTTAACAAAGTTTCTCTCGTTGGTACCACCACATCGTAAGTGAATCCGTACCGTTGACGAAGCGTTTCCACAATTTCAAATGCAATTCCGTGTCCTATAAGCGTACCGTTGATTTCTCTTGTAACCCAGCTCAGAGGTTTTGAATTCTGTGAAACAGAAAGATGTTTCAATGCATAAATCTCTTAAAAAATTATTTTTTAGTTAAAACCATTTTACTTTTTGTACTTAGTAGTATGATGTAAAATTATTATAATTGTTATAAGTGCACTTACTGGAAATGTGGCGATTTTCAACCGTTTACCCCTCAATATTTCGTATTGAATTTGAAAGTTGTTTTTCAGATCGCAATGATATTCGGTACTATTCATGAATTTCGCTTTATGCTCAGAAACTAAATTTATTTAAATAATTTCAATTTATGCTCACTTTTTACTCATTATACAACTATTATAATGCATTTCTTCATTCTTGGGATAATAGGTAGGTAGGTGCTATAAGTTCAGTATTATATTCTTACAGTAATCAACCTTTTGATTTGAAAGTTTTAGCAAAATTAAAGTTAGTTCTCCTCTTGTCCGATTTCATTTTTGATAATATTTGAATTCGGCGGAAAAATGCCCACATAGAGATTGTATGGATCACTGAAAAATTGTATTCCTATGTAATTTTGATTTGTAACTGAAAACTCGAAAATATTATTTCTATAAAATATAAAAATGGAAAGTGTTCTATGCAATCTATATATAAACAATAGACATTTTTCTGCTGAATTCAAATTTTTTTCATATTTAAAACTATACATACGTTGACAAATTGTAATTTTAAGTCTACCTCTCTTTTAATGTAGAAAACAAATATTTTAGCTACAGCGCAGGAATACAATATTGTTTAAACGGAAAAACGCCATAATAATAGGTAAAGATAACTAAACGCGAAATTGGCAACTTTAAACTTACTCCATTTCCACGGTGGTGGTAAAGTGATTTCTGTAATGTTCGACGGCGGCCAATTGGCACAAAGCGCCAACAACAATGTATTGGTCAGCGCCATAGAATTTATAGTTTATAAAATGATTAAGTCCATGGATGAGCTTCGGCGGTCGATGAGTGCTTACTGTCGCCGCGTGTCCGACGCTCACCCCGTGATTTATTTCGAGTTGTGCTGTCAAAACTGTCTCCTGCGTTGAATAAAATATGATTAAACCGAAATGATGTTTATTTAACCGTAACAATCGGTCAAAATATTATAGAGGTTTTAAAATAATGAAACGTTTGTGTTAAACATATTAACGATAACTGTGCGAACCTATATGCGCATACTATAGGATTATGACATATACGGATATACGTATACAGAATGTCACTGAATAATTTAATTTTGTGTGAGTTTATATTGTTACATATACGAATACGATAGTAGGAGTTTAACTACGCTGACCACCATATTGTTAAAACCAATAGGTTTTCTTTGATTATTCAGAAATTTAAGACATAACAAGCGGTTTTCATCCCCAATCAATTCCAAATTTAAATGGTTTTGAATCACCATTTGTCAATGAACAATATTGTGGCTGCATAGACACCTAAATATATTTATATTCAGTCAAATACTCTGATTAAAATATGTTTTCAAGTTTAATAAATTGTACCGTACATATCGTACGATTTAGTTCATTTGGTGCGTTTGATGTGCTGCGATGAGTTGATCGTGGGCCTCCTCCCCAAATAATTTTCAAATAGATTTCAATTTTGGAACATGCAGTAGGAATATCAAACAATCTGATATTGTATTTATCTCAATTAAAATATCTTATCTGCTGATTGCCCATCTTTAATATGGAGGAATTTTCAATTCAAAGAAACCTAATTAAACCTAATTGAAAATACTGCGTTTTTGCAAAAAACCATACTATACTTAATTATTACATATAAGTCTATCAATGCAAATAAACTCAAGCATATTATAACAACTGATGTGTAGGTACTTATTGCCTACTTCCAGATTTAGGTACAGGACAAATATACAATTTTTTTTGTCTCCATTATGTCAGCTCATAATTGGTTTTGCCTCTGACCCACGAGTAACAGCAAATTTGTTAGTCACCTAGACAGCATTATTTTTAATGATAGATTTAATGATTAATATTATTATAATATTGTTAACATAACGTTTTACTAATATTATAATTTATTTTTAAGAATCCAAAAAAAAAAAGTGCATGAACTTACAAGTACTGCTTATAATGATTCAACAACGGTAACTATAGAAACTGACCGAGACACGAATGTAAGTATAAAAGAAGAAACAATATTCGAATCTAATAATATTATTATAGTTCAATTACTTTAGTATTTATATGTACCGACCTACGTAAATAGTTAAACACTTTATTATAAATATGGAATCATACTTGGACGAGGTAAACAACAACAGAAATATGGGTATAACAACACTATTGGTAGGTTATTAAAAATTATTTAATAACAATTATTAATAATTATGTTGTTTGGAAAATACAGTGATGAAATATGGTAATATAATGAAAATCAAATTAATAGGTCAGGTATTACATGAAGTAAGAAAGTATGAAAGTTAAAAAAAAATATTTGTACATACATGCTTATTTTATTAAATTGTTTTTTTTTTAATATTAAATACCATTTTAGCAAATTTTACTTTCCTAATTTGGTCCATACAACAAGAAATAATTCCTCATATTCCCTCAACATTTAAAATACAATATTATATTTTAACCAATTTTTATGCTTAGTGATGTATTTATATATTTTACAATATTGCTATACCCTCCACAAGTAAAATATAAACTTACATTAAGTACCAAATGTTTGATTTTAAGGAGGATACTGTCAAAAACAGAAATTTGGATCAAATCACTTCACTTAAATTACAAGCCCCTATGTCTGTAAATCGTTTGTGCATGTTGGGTACATATGTACCAAATTTGGTGGAGCTTGATTTAACAGACAGTTTTCTTCCGTCATTCAGGTTATTTCCACAGCGTATAAATTAAGCAAATTATAACTAGCTATAATTAAAACACAATGTTCCTATACCTATAGAGATTTTGCATTTAAACTTGATAATTTGAAAGTTCTAAAAGTAGCCTCATGCAACCTAAAGTCATTGGATGGAGTTTGGAACATACCAAACGTGGAAGAGTTATTCGCCTCTGACAATGACATTAGTGACCTAATGTTATGCTCTACACTGGTTAAACTCATCACTCTTGACTTATCTAGGTAGATATATTTTATCATATAGGTATCATATTAAACCTGTTTAAAATTTTGACTAAAATAAAATTTTATAGAAATAAAATTATGGATTTGACGAGATTACACTTTTTAAACTTCTGTGAACAATTACAATGTTTATCTTTGTCGGGATGTCCAGTGGCTAAAGTTGAAAATTTCGAGAAAAATGTTCGGAACATTTTACCAAACCTGAATCATTTTAATGGAAATCCACCTTTAGGTAAGAGATTTGTATGGATTTAATTTAACTTGAAAAAACCTATTAATATTTTATTGAATATTGATCATTTCATAAAAGAAATTGAACAAGTTAAACCCAAATTGACCATACAATCAATAGTTTGTGGCAATATTACTGCTGCATTACGAAGTAGAAAAACATACTCCAGTGGAAATAAGGTACTTATCTATACCTATAGTATATTAAGTAAAAAAAAATTCATCACTCTATGAGTGAGTAATAATAATTTTTCATGAAAAATTAAGTATTGAAATTTAGTGTTAGCTAGTGTTGTAATAATAACATTACAGTAGTGAAAATAAATTATTTAAAGTAAAATGTTTTTTTAATTATCTAATCTTTGATATAATAATTTTTTTAATGTAAACACAAATAAGTAACAAAAGTACTTAATTTTATAGGAAGTACAGTTTGGAGATATGCATAAAGTATTGAATGATGACGAGAAGTAAATAAAAGATATTATAGAGTTTAGAATAATCTTAAATTACAAAACTAGTTTAACATTAAGGCATTTTATTAATACAGTGATTAAGTTAAATAAAATGCACAAACTGTATTGTATGGTTACATATATTTTTTTTTTAATTTTCTTAATTTAATCAATGTATAACTTTAATAATAATAACACAGTCTTCACAATTAATCATAATGTTAACGGTTACGCAAACAAAATATCATCCATATTTAATTATACACAAATTGTATCACCATAAATGTGTAGCCTACTTTAACTCTAATCAAATTCTTCAACACCTCCTGCATTATCATCTGAATCTTGTTGATCAAAATCAGTCATACGAACATCTTGATCTTCACCATATTGAATCATTGTGTTAATAGTATATAGTAAACCAGAAATACTTTCTTCATCTTTTATATTTAATGGAACAAATTGAACAAGACTATAGTCTTCGATCATTTGACCAATACATTTAGATAAATGCCGATATTTCTTTCCCCAGCTTGTATGATTTTTTACATCGGACAACAATGCACGAGTATCTGGCTCTAAATAACTAAATTAAACAATTTTAAGTTTAAAAATAAAACATTAAAATAAAGAAAAAACAAATACTCACTTGTCCAAGTGTTTTCTAGCTGTCTTACTAAGCAAATCCATTTTTGAAAGAACATTAACATGAGGCAGTTCCAAATTTATCATGACCGATAAAGCAGCCATTGTTCCTATAATTTAATTTTATAAAATATGTTTATAAATATTCATAGATATTAAAAATAATGCATGCAACAAAGATTACAAGATTACTAATTAGTAATCATCCACAAGATGAAATCTCACACAGAGCAAGATTTTATCATTGACGATAAGCTTAAAAAAATGTATTATATAATACAATAAAAAAAATGTAGAATGTATACTATATGCACGATGTTGTTATAAATTACGTACAAACACAGTTTAAAAAATCCCCCTTCCCTTCCTCAGGACAAAATAAAATTTAACTCCCTATAAAACTTAGATATCTAATAAATTAAAATCTCCGATTACAAAATTTAATACTAAGACGAATCAAATGATACATTTATATTTATATTCTTTTCTATTTTAATTTAATATACCTATAGCTGTATTTAACCATATAATATGGTAAGTATTGATGAAACCACATTGTACTTCGAATTTCCCAAGCAGTAAATTTTATTAATTTTTACCTTATTGACATAAAGTATTAATACTACTAATATATCATAGTACTATTACATAACTTTTTTGACAAAGAAATTAGTAATTTCGGTAAGTATTCATATATTGTGGGCAAATAATGTAAATTTTTTCGTGGTTTTATATACAAAGATCATTTCAAACTTTGTATCCAAATATTTTACATTTAACTTGTTCATCTTATACAAGTCTATATGTCTTTTAAGAAGTATGAGCAATTATAGAAAAACATATAACCCAGCTAACTGCTTAAATGACATAACACTTAATTAAATACTAGAAGTGAATTTCAACATTGAATGAAGTGCCCAGGATCGCAAGACCCACAGAGAACAGTAACCACAACATTAAGTGCCTAGATAAGTGCTAAAAAATAAAACTTAACAAATTTAAATGAATTTAAATGTATGATTACGTAATTTTAAGAAGATTCTTAGTGTATGAGAGTAATAAAAATAACTTTTGAAATTCCATCATACAAAGTAATCTGGTGGATATTGAATATTATTTTGGATTTTCTCTCCATGACTAGGAATAAAAGGTTACAATTAAATCTATGTTTTTAAAAAATATTAAAATAATACTGTACAAGTTTTAGGCATAATATTAAAAAATAGTGACAATTTGCAAATCAAGCTAGACCAATCAAATGATGCAGTAGCTAAAACCAACCAAGTTATCTAAAAAATAAATAATAAGAATCAAACAACCAAATATTAATTGGAAAAAACCCAGACGATGACAATTTGAAAACTAATTACTTAATCGATAGTTAATAATTATTTGTCTATGAAACATGCACCAATAACTAGTGTAAATGTTGAAAGGTATTTTAACTGATGTCTACAAATATTTTAGCCGGTAACCATCAATATTTATATGATGATAAATTAATCCAAATATATCATTGAAGATTTTTTATTAAAAAACTAAAAAATAAATAAACTCGTTTTTTAAATTAACAAAATAATGAAACATTCAAAAACTGCTTTATTTTATATTTTAAATGCTTTTTCTTGCGTCTTTCACATGTAAAGGACTTTTGTTATTCATTTATTATAGATATAACTTTAAAATCTGAGCCTCATTAATAATGATTTATAATATATATATTACCAGAAATGAACTTTGGTCCATCTACCATAAACTGAGAATCAATCAACATAACTGAACACACATTAAATCCCCAGTTTTGAAGTAATTCTGCCAGTTGCTTAACAGTTTTCATATGGGTATACAGTTCTATTTGTCCAGGTAAATCAAATAGAATATAGTCATCATCATCTTCACCCAACTGATCTCGAAGCCAATCTTGATTTTCTATTAAGTATCTGCAAGTCAAATAATAATATTTTGTTAAGATAAAATACTTAATCTGTATCTAATAGCTAACAAGCTAACTTACTCCATACAAAATACCAATCCTCCATTGGGTCCAAAATGTAATATTTCATCGTCCATTGCATCATCAACATGAATCAATTCACGAATATCAACAGTTGGAGAGTACTTGAAACGTTCAGCTGCTGGATCCAAATTAACTACCATCACTGAATTTTTTTCATTTTCAATATGTTCTGCTAAAGCAGAGCAATATGTGGACTGAATAAACATACAAGTAATAATTATTGTACATAATTTCGGTAGTGATTGATTAAGACACAAGGATGACAGAAAATATGTATAAAAACTGAATGTTTATTGTTAAAACAAAAATAAATGTTTTTACAATTAATTTCTTTACAATTTTGTAAAGAGATAATGGGGCAAAAGTATTTTGAACAGATTTTTTTCCTAAAAAATTTTAAAATTTTAACACTTGGTATGTTTACAAACCATACAGTAGTTGTTTAACTAAAAATACAATAAGCTAAGAAACTGCACCTATTTGGTGCCTTTATTATATAAACCAAATAAGGCTAAAATGCACTTTACCACGCCCCTCACGAATTTCGATTTTTTTTTTTTTAAAAAAGACGTGTTTTTCAACGCTGATTTCGAAACTGTTTGAATTTTTGTGCGGAAACCATTATTTTGGAAGTTATAGCCTTCCAAAGTTTGCGATTTTACGTTTATACGCATGCGCTCAACACCATTATGCATTACTGCCGCGCGGAGCGTGTATAACCTATTTAAATTCTTTTTACTCTTAACCCTGTGACCCACTTGGGGAGGTGTTGCACAGCATGTTGGGGGATATTTTCGATTTGTGGAGCGGAGCGACGGCGCCGAGGAGCGTAGCGACGAGTGCCGCTAGCACCGCATCACTGCGGCTGTCCAAAAACGAAACACAGTAACTACACCTCTTGGCTCTTATCAAAATCGACTTTTTTACATATTCATATTCCTTGTTAAAATGCGGATTTTTTTTATTCTAACCTCTTTGTGGTATTACCATTAGTTTAGAATTTAGTAATCAGTAACTACCATTTTATTTGTATGATAAGATTTTTTCCAAATCCAAAACACAGTATCTACATCAAACAAATTTAAAAAATGAAATAATTTTTCATTTCTCTTTCCTTATTCATCAATATTACTATACTAGTTTGTAATATGGATGAATAGTAAGTATATTACATAAATATTACGTTATTGTCTCAAAATGCTTAGTTTAATATTTCTTTATTATAATTTTTTAGTGTGTTTGCTTTACATGACCACGACTATATTCACACTAGAAGTTCTTTAAACAATAATGAATCAGATGCTATACAATTGGATAATGAAGATGACCATTCTAATGAATCTTATGAGGTATTTGATGATGAAATGCTGGATCCAACCTTTGTTTTTAGTAATGATATAAATAAGGATTCTATATATCAGTTGAATTTGGATGTATCTATAGATTCAGTGAGTTGTCAAAATTTCACTGAAAATATCCATGATTCAATAATTAATTCTCCATTACACATACCAATTCCAACAAGTAATAAAAAATTGAGTCCTGCAGAATTAAAGAATAATAGGTTGATTAAAGAAGACAATAAAAAAGAAAAAGCTAAACTTAAACACCCATTTAAAGATATAACATGTAAAGATTCTTGTAGACAACAATGCCGCCATAGTGATCTAACAATAACTCATAGAAAAGCTCTTTGGACAGATTTTTGGACTCAAAATTATGTTGGAAGGATGAGATTTTTAGCAACATGTTTAGATATAAAACCAGTTAAACGTCGAACAACTACATCAAGTTTAGCAACAAAAAATCAATCTCGTTTTTTTTATCTACCAAGTATAAATAGTAACCGATTACAAGTGTGTAAATCAACTTTTCTATGTACTTTTGGCTACTCAAACGATTCTATTATAACTGAACTTTGCAAGTATATGAAAGGTGACACCTCTTGTCTTTCAGCTGTGAAAGAGTATAGGGGTGAAAATAATAATTTGAGAACAATTGACAGGGAAATTATAATTAACCACATTAAAACATATAACCCATGTATAAGTCATTACAGAAGACACAATGCTCCAAATATTTTATATTTACCCAGGGAACTGACAGTGAAAATGATGCATGATGATTTTTTTTCAAAAAATGAGAAATTAATTTGTCAAGAGTTGTACAGAAGTGTCCTGAAAAGTATGAATATATCATTGAAAAAACCAAACTCAGATATGTGTGAAGATTGTTGTATGTTTAAAAATCAAATTGAAAATTTGGAAAATGAGAATGAAATAGAAGTAATTAAAAACAAATTGGAAGAACATAAGTTGAAAGCATATCAAGCTCATAAGATGTACAAAGAAGATGCTACAATAGATATAAGTGGCACTTCATTTAGAGTATACTCAATGGATTTACAAAAAGTATTGTTACTTCCTATACTACCAGAATCAAAAACTAGTTTCTTTACTAGTCGGTTAGTAGTTTTTAATGAGACATTTGCCACATTAAAACCAAAAGGTAAAGGGTATTGTGTGCTTTGGCATGAAGCTATAGCAAGCAGAAAAGGAGAGAATATAACAGATGCCATATTAGCCTTAATAAAGGAAGAAAGAGATGTGACAGATTTCATATTTTGGGCAGATAACTGCACCGGACAAAACAAAAATTGGATCTTATTTACTGCTTTAGTTTGCAATGTTTGCATATTAAACACCACCCATAACACTGTTGAAAGTATTACGATTAAGTACTTAACCAAAGGCCATACGCACATGAGTGCCGATGGCATTCATGGCAATATTGAGAAAAAAATCAGAAAAGTAAGAAATGTTTATGACTATGATGATTTGAAACAGACAATTCTAGAAAGCAGACAAAACTTAGGTATCATTGATCAAAAAAATTTTTTTCAATGGACAAGTAAAAAAAGAACAACCAACATACTTTTAGATCCTCTTAAAAATTTTAAACTACAAAATGTAGTTTTGGTCAAATTTATAAAAAACTCATCAAAAATGCTATATTCAACCAATTTTGATGACAAAGAACTCAAAGAAATGGATTTTTTACAAAAGAAATTTATAAGGGGTATTAATACTTATAAACCAAAACAAATTGATCAGCCAAGAGGTGTGTGTGTAAATAAAAAAAATGAAATCATTTCAAAGTTATTGCCATTGATGCCAAAAAGCAGGGAAAATTTTTGGATTAATTTACCAGTATCCGTGACATCTACTGATCTAGTAGTAAATATTGGTCTAACGGATGAATTTTTAGATGAATGTGTGATATAAGATTGAAATTGTAACTATTACAAAGACTGCAAAATAAAGTAGGATAAGTTAGTTAATAAGGTATTTGTTATGAACTTTAATCATTTATTATGTATATGATTTTTTTATACATATTTTTAAATTTTGTTATAATTTTGTTATAATATTTAAAAAATTGTAAAGTGATACTTTTTATTTTGTTATTAAATTGTGAGCAAAGACTGCATAATATTGTGATCAACATTATATTTTTACTATAAATGTGTGTAATAACTGCAAGAACTGCATATATTTTTTTTTAATTTTGTTATTATTTCATTAACATATATTTATAAAATTGTTAAGTGATACATTTTAAACTTTAAGATTTATTAACTAGTTTTACTATAATATGTAATTGTTTATTATACATTTAATTTTGGTATTAAATTGTGAGCAAAGACTGCATTATATTGTGATTAACAATGTATTTTTACCATGAATTAAAATAATGACTGCAAAGACTGCCAATTTAAATAGTACAGCAATATATATCTCACTAAATGCATTGTTTTATTTAAATTATAATAATACATAATATGATTATATTAAATATGATGTTCTCCTATTTTAAAATAATAAAGTTATATTACCTAACATATTTTGTTCATGTTTTATTTTATATTATGAAAATTAATATATTATTGAGAACTTATTAAAAAGTTTTCCATGTAAAATAGTATCCTATCAATGTATATTCCTGATGAAAATTATCAATTTTGTCCTTGGCTCAGACTTACAGTGGCGTATATAGGATTTTGTAGGAAGGGAAATATACATTAGCAAACGTATAGAATTTCCCTCAGGGGAGGGGGTAATTCACCTACCATCGACATCACAATATTATGAATTATTAACAAATAAGAGTCCATGGGAGAATGGATCTATCCTCCACCCTGTAAATACGCCACAGCGGATTTATGACAGATACTTGGTTTTGGTTTGGGATTTATGAAGTGAATTAATTTCAATGAAAAGTACAAAACACAGTATTGGCTCTTGCTGTGTTTTATAGTATTCATTTAAATTAATTCACTTCATAAATCCCAAACCAAAACCAAGTATCTGTCGTAAGTTCGAGACAGAACAAAATTGATAATTTTTATCAGGAATATACATATTGATAGGGTCCTATTGTATCTAGAAAAAAATTTCAATAACTCATAATCAAAACTTATCAGTGGCCCAATAATGTTTATTAAACTGGCTCTCCTGTAAAATATTGAAAGTGGTAGTTACTGTGTTTCGTTTTTGGACAGCCGACTGTACGATGTTTCTTCAAATTGGTGGCTCGGTGCAACAAAAATGCAATTTTCTCAACCCTGTGACCCACTTGATTTTAAATATATTAGGCATACGACTGTTTGAATGACGAGGGATATGTGCATTTTAAGGTTAATCATAGTATTAATTTTAAAGTTCCCGAAACTCAGCAGCATACAAATACAATTGAAGGCCTTTGGAGACATGCCAAATTTTCACTACCTCAATATCATAGGAAGAAAGATTTTATAGGAGGATATCTCGCCAAACACATGTTTTTAAAACAAACTAAAAATAAAAATGACGCCTTAATAGAGTTTTTCAAATTAGCTGGACATTTGTACAACGCAAATGTCCCAATTAATGTTGAGCAAAACTCAAGTGATACAGATGATAATGAAGAAACAGATGAAGAAACTGATGATAATATTGTTTATTAAATATTTAACATTGTGTATAAGTATAATATACAATAAAATAAAAAAAATTGAATTTCAACTTTAAAATTATTGTCCCCGTAAAAAGAATTTAAATAGGTTATACACGCTCCGCGCGGCGGTAATGCATAGTGGTGTTGAGCTCATTTGTATAAACGTAAAATCGCAAACTTTGGAAGGCTATAACTTCCAAAATAATGGTTTCCGCACAAAAATTCAAACAGTTTCGAAATCAGCGTTGAAAAACACGTCTTTTTTAAAAAAAAAAAAATCGAAATTCGTGAGGGGCGTGGTAAAGTGCATTTGTTCCCCAAATAAGTTTAAAAAATTCAAGTCCAAATACGATGAGGATAAAAAACAATTTTCTATAATAATAACATAATCCTAGATTGGAAATATAAATCGTTAAAAATTTACCTTTCCGCTTCCGGCCGGTCCCATTACTAACTGAGCATACCTCATTGCTTATATTTGTGGCGGTACTCAACGCTACGGTTTTTATTTATTATCATTTATTATTATATTGTTTTTTGTGTTAGTAATAATTATCTTGTTACGGTCTGACGTTATCGTCGGCGGCCGAGTGAACGTTCCTTACTTCACTCGGTCAATGACTGAGGCCATAGAGTAATATATGAATATATAGAATATTATTCTTAAAATGCTTGTGCTCGTGCTCAACTTCAACATTTATTTTCTCTGATTTAACATCAGTTGATTTTTTTTTCTACACTTTTTTTTGATAACCAAATGTTTCCTTCAGTGTTCGGTAAATGTAAATATAATATATTGTAAAATAATTTTTTTAATTATTTTATTTTGATTCTTAGACAGTGTTCATAATGTAATTTTATTTTTATTTTGTGAGTGTACGTGTTCCACTTTCCACTTTTTCAGTAGATCAACACTCTTGTTTTTTTTTTGTATATATTTTTAAACAAAATTTTAGTTATTAAAGCCACTAGTAAACAACTATGATAACTTGACATATATTATTCAAGTAAAATAAAATAGATTTTACAAATTACAAAATATAAAATTAAAAATACATCAATTTTTCGACTATATAATAAAGCCGGCCTACAAAATAAATGTGCTTATCATTTTTATTGCTAGTACTGATTTGATGTGTAAAATAGAGTGGAGATTACTGAAAGAAATATTAAGGGATTTAAGAGAGTTAATTAAAATTTGCAGTTTAATCTGCAGAGCATGGCTGTCAAATAACACATCAGTGAAGTCAGGGATACACTCATTTGAATGAAGTGTACAAAAATGCGAGTCGTTAAGTCCTTGTTTGAAAGAGTAACAAACTAATAAATAATGCCGTCTACGTAAACAATACAATTTTACTACATTGGGACTTTGTAAATTTTTGTTATCAAACCTTTTTTTACTCCTTAAAATATATTTGACTGAAGGTGGCCATGCCCCCCTTCCAATTTTTTCTTAATTATTTTAAGTTTGGCATTTTTATAGACATTTTGATTTTTATCAATTTGTTATGCTTTGATTACAAGGTGCCATCTGCTATATAATCTTTTTTTAATGAACTAATTACAGTCAATTATTGACTCGTTGTGTTCAGAGTTCAGATATACTCATAATTGACTGTGCATATATTATAGGATGTATTATGTAAACTGCCATATGCCTTTACTCCGTTCACCATGATAAGTTGGTAATTACTTTCATTCGAATTGATCTAAGAAGCGTGGATTTGGGGTGATTGTGGCGAGGTACTTCAATAATGTACCTATTTTGCCTATATAATTCGCCTGGCAAAACATATTTTTGTGTAATATATTTTATCGAATGACTTTCCTAGACATTTAAATACTTTTTTTGTGGACCGTGAATTTTTTTTTTTATTGATCTCAGAAAATAACATCTTCAAAAAGACCATTATTTATAAGCAAGTTATGAATTGTGATGATTAGCTACAAAGATAGGCTATATAATTCGCTTACATTTTTTTTTTTTTTTATAGGATTGAACAATTTTGTTTGTTTCATAAAATGAATTATGTCAAGGTTTTTTTTTTATTGGATACGAGTACGATGTCTAGGTTTCAGGATATATTTTGTTCGACATGTTCTTGGGTGTACATAAAACAGTCTGCTATTAAGTGTTTGACAATTAACACAGTTCCACAGGTTTGATAAATTGGGGGCTCCTCTCTGGCCATCAGGAAACCGTGAGTGATTCTGGTATGATTAATGCGAAGTCTATTAAGAACAGTATCCTACTTGGGGTTAAGCTTTGGGTTTATCCAACGAAAAATACCTCTTTTAATCTCGTATAATTAGGGTGTTTATGTTCAAAATTCTTTGCCATTTATTTTTATATATTCATTTATGAATTTTTCCGAGTCATCATATGACATTTAGATTTAGTTTATTAAAAAGGATTCATTATTGTTAATAGCTATTGAGACTTATTTGTCGGCTATTTCATTGCCTATTATTCCTGAGTATCCACATGATGATTATATGTTTACCCAGATCGGGGTTGAGAATTTGTATATTATTGAAGGTTGCATTTGCTTAGCTGAATGGATTTGGTTTCATTATCTTTAATGTTTGAAACTAAATTTCGTGTTGGAAGGAACTTCTAAGGTTAATATTGACCAGTAAAAATAAATACATCATGACATTAAATATTGAATAATTGTATATTGTATAAGTAATTTCAATACACGTCCTTTAAACATATATTAATATTGCCCTTTACATATATCCATTATGTTGCATCAGTTGTATTAGCATTCTTACTACGGTAAACCACAGCGAAATACGCTAGTAACATCGTGTCAGCCAACATGAGACCCGAGTACATTAAAAATTCGTTTGCCTAAATCATAAACAAAACCAAAAACGTTTAAAAATTAAAAACTACATACTCATTTCTTAATTAAGACAAATTATTCATACTCCATAGATACCTGATTTTTAATTGATATTGTCGATATGAGTACGACCAACAAATTTCCTAATGCCATTGTCAATAAATTAACAGCGGATATGAATGACTTAAGGTTTATCGGGGCCTAGGTATACCAAATAAATAATACATTATACATATATTATACAGTTACTACTAATAACTATATTCTGGATAAGCAATTCAGGTATTAATGAAATGTATAAAAAATATAATAATATAGGTAATGAAGACAACTATTTAAAATAATTTGGAACACCTATCACATTTAATTTGATAATAAAAATAACGGTTATCATAAGGTACCTAACTATAATTAAAAATTGAATAGTAGCAGGTACATATTATAATACTATAGGCATCCAAAAAAACGTCTCTAAGTTATCCAGCACAGTGGACAATATAATGTAATCAAAATATACCTCAGTAAATGCAAATTCCGCAGTGGTCACGGCGAATATGGCATCAGCTGTGATCATACAAAAATATTGTGGTAGCTGCCACAATATGTGAATATAGTTTCCTTCATCTTTGGTAAATAATCGTACATCCTAAATATATTATGTATTTTCTTGTTATTAGTTATATATGTGCTATTTTATTTTCACAAAATCTTATGTAATTTACTAGTAGCTCACAAAATATTAATTAAGCAACCCGCAGGTCAAATACTCTGTAATTTTACCATTTTATCGCCATTTCGCTGTAAAGTTATTGTATAAAATGTCGCAGGTAAAATGTCTATAATTGATGTGGTCAATATTTTTCCGTTGAAGAAAACATTGTATCTATCAAATATTATATTATAGATTAAATTATAATATATATTATAATATCAATAATTTAATTATTGTAATGGTGAAAAAGTATTAAGTACTTACTTCCCTACCTTAACGACATTATAGTTCATCCCCCGAAACGAAGATAGAGGGTACGAGGTAAACGAGTTTTGATCTGCACTGACCAATGTAATATTATCGTCAAAATCGAATGTGTGGTCGATCAAAATTCTAAAATAAGTTGTTTTCGTGTTTCAAATATTTCAATATAGGAACTATTATAATGCAGACAGTAGGTATTTAGACTGGTACGTACCTCAATTTTGGGTTTCCAAACTTTTCTTTAACTAGACTGTCATGAGTGTCAATTCGGTTTAATTTGATTGTGTTTGGGTTAATACGGAACAAGTGATAAGAAATCTCCTAAAATCAAGTTAAAAAAAATAATATCAATGCATTTTTATAAATGATTATATTGTTATTAATTATTATACTAAAATAGATCCAATTGCAAAAGTGATAACACCCAAACAAACAATTTTTTGCCACAAGCAGAAAAATGTTATTTCTTTAGTATTTAAAAAAACTCACTTTTTTGTGGACTATAGTCATATCCATAGGCTTTTATAAAATTGTAGATAAATGGTTTTAATAATATTAAATCAGTACATTTATCGCTCAGCCAGAATCTAAAAGTTTTAGATTTGTACATACCTATTTCTTTTTGAAACTAAAATATGGACTTACTCACTTTTGAAATAAATAAACTTAATGTTTGAACTTGATAATTTTCAATCATTGTAAATCCAACTTAACAATATAAAATAATTTGTCTACATATCTTATTTATGATAGGGATGGCCGAGTGGGCTGCTGCAGCCAAAGTGTACACTTTACATATCTTCCACAAAAATAACCTTTGTGTTTGTTTACTGTTTATAATGAACCGAGTTATAACTTGTAAGAAAGTGTTTTAAATTAATTTTTAATATTATTCTATATATTATATATTTTATACATTTATTATTATATAATAAATTAAATTTTAAAAATATTCTTAATTCTATGTTATTCTTAATTTTTAAATAATAATGGACAAATTTATCATTTGAATCGCGAAGATAAGTCAATATATACGCACATATATAATAAATACACACAGATAAAATGGTTTTAGACAAGTTCTTCAATTTAATGCATTTTCCATGCAACTCGGCAATATTTTTATTTCACTGTTACATGTATAATATTATAGTTTTAATCTAAATTAATAGTTTTGCTCGGTATATCAGTGTCATGTTATAAAATAGTTTATACTTTAGCAGCTAAAAATGTAAAATAAGTCTCAAAATATTATAATACTGTTTTGTATTTACGTTTCTTCAGTGAAAGTGTTAATTTAATAAAACGAAATAATTTACCACTCCTTCGGTAATCGTCACAGTAGTATCAAACTCGTAGTTGTCAGGTACCGATAATAAGCACTCTGTTTCGAAACCTAATGAGATATCGACGACGTCATCCCGAGACAGTACTGGACGGCTGGCGTTGATCATTTCGAGTGGACCGATAATATTGTCCTGGAGATGCAATGACCTCGATCGTACTGACACGTTGCAGTCTAATCCGTTGTAAATGTTTAGGCGTCCTTGGCCAGACGGTATCTCTGTGGTATTTCCCTTTAAAAACCAGGATTGGAGGCGAGTTAAAAAAAAATCGCCGTTCGAGCTACCTATAGTATATATATATTGTAGATCTTACGAAAATTTTAAACTGCAGTAGAGCTGTGAACACAAATGCAATGACGGCCAGGGCACCGGCAAACGTGAGCTTTTGTAACGGTTTCTGGACGCCGACCATTGCCAGCAACGGATAAAAGACGACGTCGAAGAGGACAAGCAACGTCAGACCCAATAACGGTGTTAGTATCTGCATTTGATCGGGTTTGATTGTCCAGCCCAAGAAGTCCACTCGTCCGTTCATCAGCATGGCTTGCAACGTCCACCGGGAACTCTGTGATAGAACGGGCGAGACGTCAAAGCGTCTACTACAAAGGTGGGTTTCTCTTGGATCGTTCACGTATATTTTAATTAATTGGACTCCGGTAAGGACGGTTAATCCGTTTGTTTATTCGTGATTACTCCTAGCATCAGCAAGAATAGACTATTTGAACCATAGAAATTATACTAATAGACGAAGCATGACTGTATAGTTTTAGAGGTTTGACATATGGGTGCGCTGATCTTGATGCACGACATTCACTGTACCTACATGTACACTAGAATATTTCGGTTTTTGCAATAACTGTTATTATATCTGTGTATACAACTCCAACCTCTTTATCACGAGACAACACCACACATCTTCGCCGAATGCTGCGAAAGCTCCGGATGTCTATGTTATCGTTATGGTATAATGCTATAATATGTGCATGGTTTGAACGGAAATAGCTAGTTGAACTAGATCGAACTTTGAAGTAAAATGGTATACAGTGAGGTAACACAACTATAATTTGGATAAACCTGAATAATACCACTTTACGGTCCGATCACGGGATAGAAAGATACATGAACGGTCCAGTGGAAACCCATCTTGAGATAGATCTACGTCAAAATGTATTATAAATATGTTTCGTCACTGTAATTGTACCGTACCTGTTGTGCGAACAGCGACCAAAACACTGGATATGCCACGAATACGCTGATCACGTTCAGTGACGTTCGCGTTTCAGATACCTCTGTCTCAGTGTACGCTCCTTTTGCATTGTCCAGCCAGTGGGTTTGGCATGGAACGGACGTCGTCATTTTCGTGCGTATCGCATACTTTAAAACCGAACGTTACGTGAGAACCGAGAAAGAGAATATGCGGGTTCGCTGGGCTCAGTGATTCTCAATACCTATACGATATGAGTATCGCCAAGACGCCAAATTTCGGATCTTAAAATTATTTTGGTGAGTCGAAAGCATATAATAATATTATACGATTAAAAAATTAAATCACAAAATTCCGTACTTCTACTACTAGGTATTACAACAATATAATTTTAAGACTTTGGTTTTTTTCCTATGATGGTTCACCCGGCAGAAGGAGTGTCGAACAAGCGGGTCACCGTATCAAAAATATTGGGAAAAACTGGATTCTGTTTTATAACAAGGTTTAAGACAATACTTACGAAAATACAACCGAACGTCTTGGCGATGATGTTACGTTCTGGCTTCTTATTCACGTATATAGATTTTCCGGATACGAATACCACTGTGGCAAGTAAGAAAATACTGTAGATAAGTATAAGATTATACTTATATAATATAGTATCTTCTGTAGTATATACATAACGTGTACTCAAACTAGGCCATTTAAATTTTCACACAATATTTCAATTTTAACTTTTTTAAATGATGATATAGGTACATTTTTAATTTTATATTCCAAAGTAGAATACTTTTTGGAGTATACATATATTTTGATGCTACAATAAATTTTCCACTCAGCAGTTATAATCAGGGCCGGCTTAAGGGGTAGGGGAGTAGGGAGATATCAACCCCTCCCCCCCCCCCCCCCACACACACACACTTTATAATATCGAGTCGGCACAATTACAATTTAAATAGAAGTCGTCGAATTGGTTTTCATAAGATGAAAAATACAAAAACATGTTAAGGTAAAATATAATATATCGTATTTTCGTATCCATCCAAATAAGGGACTTAAACATGCCATTAGGAATTACCATGCTTTTGTGAATAGTATATAAATATATTTATTAATAGGGTGTGTGTACATCGTTCATTCTTTATCATTTTACTAATCTCATGGGTCCTACGCACAGTATGAGTCGTACTGTGCGACAAAGCATTTAGTGTGTGGTGGTTCAAACTATTTCCTATCTAACTACTATAAAACACCTTTTCCTAAGTTTTAATTATTTATTTTTTGAATTACCTTATTTATTTTATAATGAGTGATTTTGAAAATGAAAAACACAAAAGGAAGCGGATATAACTTAAGTGCTTATCTTGTGGTAGAACATTTGTTGACGACTACCGCCGAATGCACAAAAAACAAGTGCACAATGGTGCAAAGGTTAAGGTGAAACATCATTGGGCTGCAGATGAATCCGTTCGTATATGCTCGATTAATTTCGAACAAAAGGTATGTCAACTGTCAAGTATGTAATAAACTAATAACTGATAGCTAGTGCATTCTATACTTTTAGATGCATATATTGAATAATATACCATTATTATCAATAATTTTCTTAACGTTTTTTGTCATTTCTTCTCCTAATATAATTCAGTTACCAATAGTACCAAATGAGTGCTAAAAATTAATAGTTTAAACATTAAAAAGTGTTGTTTTAATCGTTTGTCATGATTGAATTATTTAATTAAGAACTAAGTATCTTATAAAATAAATTAAATAGGTACCTGCATAAATGTAGCAGTGGTTTATCCATTAACTTTGTTGCACTATCTACCTAATAATAATTTGTTGATTCCAATTTTGTACTCGAGTGATGGTCACGAGCTACATAAATAAATACTTCATTCTTCTATTTTATTTTAAACTTCAATAATTCATTGTTACAGAAAAATGATAATGATGCATATACTTAAATCCAAAAATATCGAAAAATGTAGTTAGTCAACCACTATTTGATTCGTTTTACGTAGATAAAAATAAAATCGATTTTGATTTAAGTTTAATACATGACAAATTAGAATTACTTCCTGCTAAGTTGGAAAAATGTGTAAATATATAAAATCATCTATTGGATACGGACCATGAAGTATTAGTAGTCAAAGTGCAAAAACACTGATATTTTTAATAATTTAAGTCGGAATTTTATTATTTTGACAACCCACCTCTCCCTGAATAATTCTTCTCGCCGACCCTGGTTATAATATTAGTTAATTAGGTACATAGATTTAAGTTATAAGTAAAACAAAGAAATAAAGAAATGTACAAGTTATACAATTAATTAATTACTGAATCCAAAAAATGTTTTTCTTCAGAATGTAAATTAAAAATTGTACCTATGCTATTATTCAAAAAAGTAATAAGCTTAAAAATTTGTAAAAAATGCAGTTTTCAAAAATTTTGTTTTGTGTTTTTGTGATGACATACAATTTGAAATTATGTTAAATAATATATATATTCTTAGTAAGTAAGTTAAGACTTTTCAAAATGATGGGTGTTAGAACTCGTATGGATCACATTAACCTTGTATAGTACGATGAGGAAACATTACTATAATAAATTATGATGATACATCAACGAGGGGAAGTCGAGGAAATCCAAGAAGAAAAGTTATAAAACCGGTTGATATTTTACTTTAGATACTTATTTTCGTCGAATTATACAGTGAATTAACACTGCAATTTTGATCATGTGTACATGGTGGCGAGAATGTGCTATCACTTTGTTTATATTACAATAATAGTATATACCTATAGCTGTGAACATAAGCAGGGCTGGAACTCCGAAAGCCAGCGGAAAACAAGTGTCTCTGCCAAGACAATGTACGCTGTGCCTCAATTCGGGCGTCAAAAACGTCGAGATCAACGCTCCAACGCTCACGATAAACAGGAAAACGGTAGTGTAGTGCAGTAGCTGTTTTTTTTGTTGTGGCAACTGGAATTGATCGCCACCGAACGCGAAAACGCAAGGTTTTATACCACCTGTGCCGATAGATATGATGAATAACCCGAAAACAGCCACAATTCTAAAATATTAAAATATAAAGTCAGTTTAAGAAATTACGAGTATTTTGCTTACATTAAAAAATATCTAAAAACGATTTTTAAAAATACAGATATTTTGAGCTTTTTGAGTACATTTTCAAAAACATTTTACTTTCCTTCCGGCCTGTGATCGGGGATGGGTACAGGGTTTGACATCCTGACGCTATCGACAAGTCATTCGACCATTTTTAGCCTATATGGCTATATATTGTTTGTGTTTTTTTAGACACAGAAAGTGATTGCCAAAGCCAAACTTAATCGAATCTTCATTAAATATCGAACTATATAATGTAAATTCGTTTTATTATAATATATTATACTACCATATTCATAAACCCTTATATAGAGGTTAATTGTTCACTCTATTTTTTAAAGACATACTTCTTTAAACTTACATACTTAATATACATTCATTCAATATTTATGAATTATAGATAATATCAATATAGATTTCACATTTAGTAAGTAATATTATTATGCTGCAGTGGTAAGTAATTGAGAGTTAAATAATAGGGTAGCAAGCATCTTGAATAATATTTTTTATTCAATTTTATATGGTCTATAATAAAGTTCGGGAGCACTGAGTGGATAAAATAATACAATTAGTGGGATAGCAATAATTATTACTCTTTAATACTCTGTAATGACGCCTCGCTATGATTATGCCTTATCGAATTATTCTAATTTTTTCGAACGTACCTACTTCGAAATGAGAATTATTTTTTTTTTCGATCCAGGTATGATAGGAATGATAACGATTTCTATAGTTTTGGAGTATTATCAAACACTTCTCATAAATACACTTAAATGCTAAGATATAAAATATGTATTTTATGTTTCTAAAATTAGTTATCTACTGTTTTATTATTATAATCAAGCATTAACTTTTGAAAGTCCAGGCTAAAAATATCTGCCATCGAAGCACCGGTAAGCACTGCACCTCCGAGTGCGTAAGCCGTTGACGAGCATATTATCGTTCTAAAAAAATAAAACGTTTCATAAATGATAACAATAATTATACTTTACGGCAACAATAGTGACGATGTTTATGCCGATTTAATTCCAAAAAACCAAACACGTACGGCGTACTTACTTGAATTTTCCCAAATAAGAATCGGCCAGGATTGCACCCGGCAACGGCATGATGTTTGCTAAAAATATGAAACTGTGATATATTATCGTCGAATCGTCTCCGTTAAACTTCAATATCGTCGTTAAGTACAAAACCAATGCGCCTGTAAGTTCATAAGTATATAAGTAAAATCGTTGTGGAATTTTTGAGTAAGCAAAACATTGTATTTATATAACGGCAGTAAGCCCACTTGAATAACTCACTTCTCAGTCCGTAAGTGCTAAATCGTTCGCAAAATTCAATAAATACGATTAAATATATGGACTTGGGGTATTTCTGAAAAACCAAATAATGTTATTTTAATTTTAAAGTGAGTATAGGATAGGTAAAATGTTCCATGGGTTAATTGCGTGCAGTTGCAGAGGACTGCAAGGGTTGAATTCATTTTTTACTATTACAGCGTAGGTGTATCGAAATATAAATTATAATCAGGTATTATATTATACAGTAGTATATTATGTAGTATGTTTGCTTATTAGCACTCTTTTATCAGGATAAAAATATTATATTATCAAATGTATGAATTTATCATATTTTCTTTACATTTTATAGTATAATATTTGACTTCAAAAAGTAAAAAAAATATTTTTGTTTATCTACAAGTAAATGTTTGCATTTTAGATTCTAAGCGGAGCGATGAATGTATTGATTTTACAATGATCTTTTTAAATTATTGTTAGTGTCTGTTTACACAATAATTAGTCGAAATGATGCTTTAAATTGTAACTTCAGTATCTTTTTCGGTGGAAAAATGAATCTAGCTGGTGGATCCACGAGCTCAAAATTAAAAATTTCTAGTATTCCCCTTTCTATACTCATGTTGAGCTGTTTATTGGTATATTAAATTTTTAAATTAATGTGTATAAAAAAATTTTTTCTCGGTCAAAAGACTTTAAAATGTAATACAAGGTTCTTCGTAAGTAATCGTTAGTGGAAATTGCAAAAAAAGTTGTGTGTAAGTCCACAATACCTTTTTACGAACGTCTCAATTTTGAATTTTGACAATATTCCTAAAAAAATACGAAAACTTGGAAATTATTTGAATTCGAAATTTATCAAACATTTTCTTTCTATAACTTAGATTTGAAAATGTAATACAAGATCTCACTAAAGTTTGTCTAATTTTATTTTTTTTTATGTATACCAGAAAGTCAAATTAAATGTTTATGAGAGTTAAAATGTTTCAAATTGTTTAAATGTTCCAATCTTTACAACATTGGATATCCACTTGATTTCTCTTGGAGTGATTTTCTTATATTGTTGTAATTCAGAAACGAATTTTTAATTCTCGAAATTTAAATTTATGCTAACAAATCTTTACACGTGATCATTTGACTAATGTCTCTATTTGTATTAGGTTATTGTTATGTTTGTACAACATAACCGTTGCTTGAACAGCATACAGGGGTAGCTCCGGGGGGTCCCTAGGGGCCGTGGTCCTCTCCCAAGCCCGTATTTCTAAAAACTGTATACTGTTTAAAACAAAGTTTCAAAAAAACCGATTATATTATTGAAAGCTTTCTGAAAATTATTAGTTAGTCCCCCCCCCCCAACCATGTAGCTGAAGCCACCTCTGTCAGCTTAAACGTTGTTCTACGGATACTAACAAATAACAAACAATGATTGTTACATTTACTGACATATATTTGTATATTTTATATTTTTTATGTTATAACAGAACAAACATATTCGAAACACGACAGCTGTATCAACTTTCACAAATCATGGTCGACGCACCCACTATATGTAGAGAAGATATCTTCTCTATATCGTGAATGCACCAAGCGTGTGTGTGCCAAATAACCTTTTAGGTTATGTTCAACGTGGAACAAACACTAAGAACATTGTATTATTATTTATTATTAGCAAATATGATATTGATAAAGATTATTATTATGCAATACCTCGATTTAAGCAAATTTTATTACTGTATTATTACTATTTATTAATATAAAAATAGCATTTATATGTAAATGTAGTAAATAATTATTAGTTATAAAACTCCTACTCTCAACACAAGCATTTGCTTACAGTGAGTAGGTATAAACTTCTAATCTAAAAAATTACTAATGTAGGTACATATGAATAGTTGCAATAAATAAATAAATAGATTAAAAAATTAAGCTAGATAAAATATGAGGCTTTTAGGATTTAATATTTTAATGTAATGAATTTTACTTGCCAATTTTTCCTTTTGGTTCGATCTCAAATCCATGTTGTGTTTAAAATAAAAAACAAATTATTACCTAAGACTGTTAAACTGAAAATCTCAGATGTTTGAAATTGAATAAGTATGAAAAATCAACTTTTCTGTCTTCAAAAAACATGTAATTTTGTACTACAGTATTTATTCACTCTGAATTTGCATTGTAAGTATAAACAAATTACTTGTCTTGGGAACATCTATTTCAGTCGAGACATTTAAGACACATTATCAAGTAAAAAGGTCCATGTCACACAACGTTTCATTGTTAGTTTGCTTACTGTATCACGTAGAAGATAAGTTTTCATAAGTACCTTATGATTTCAGTGAAGTTTTGAGTACGTACCTCTACATAATTGAGTGTATGAATACTTAAAATATAGTATGAAACGCATGTTTTAATTTTTATTAACCATATAATGTAAAATGATAGTTTTTAAGCTACTAGAAATAATCTTTTATTTAACATTCATTAATAATTATACAAGCAAGATTTATTATACCTAGTATACTCTTATAAATATCTGACAAGTTGTATAAATTAGGCACAATAAAAATTGTTTGTTTAATGTTTTTGATACATACTTATAATATAAATCAATAATAATAATTTATTGTCCTTTGTAACGATTGGAGTAAAATCAATAGCATATATTGATACACTCATAAGTACCATAAAGTATAATTATTTGACTTATGTGATTATGAACATTCGACGACAAACAATCTAATTGACAAAAATCATGAATAGGTATAAAATAAACGAATAAAAAGTAGCCACTAAAATAATTTTTGAATGCTATATTCTTATATTTACATAATATAGTTTACTTGTTGTAGATTTCCTTATGCTGTATAGTGTATATTCATTCCTGAATAATTATATGGTTCTATTGATTTTCAATGAATGACAACCAAAAAAATTACTTACATTTTTGTAAGACTCTGGTATATACAAATTAAGGTTAACATTTTGAGTCACAGTTTTCAAATTCGGCGGTATTTAAAGACTACAAACAACTTTTTCCCCTCAATTCTTGTAAGTTTTAGATATGGTTCATAACTTCACAAAACACGATCATCCAAAGGTTAACTTATTTTAAAAAATGATTTAAAATATTATCTTGATCAATATAGTTTCTTGGTGAATGATCGTTTTGAAAGCGAGATGGTGAACCTATAACACGTGCGTGTTCTTTTATAGTGATACACTTAACCTGTTTTTTATCATTCAAGGTGTTGATGTAAGAATTTTGAAGTCTATAAAAAGTATCATCTAATTAGTTGACACGCAGAGGAAATAAAATCCAACCAATATTTTTATTTGACAACGAGTACAGAAAGGTTCGGCATCCCTGTGTTAAACGAAAGTTTATAGTTTGTTTACAATAATCATAATTAGACATAGATAAACGTTAAGTAAGATCATTTAAAGAGTTATAAAGCAGTATAACAATATTTTCAACATTTTTTTTATTAAATTTATTTTAAATTTTTTATGCTTAGTGCTTAAAACTAGCATAAAACTTATGAATATTTTATACATTTTATTTTCACCTGCTTATTTTGAATAACGACCATAAATACATTTAAATATTAAATTTTAAACATAAAGTAACCATGTCTACTTATATATAACATCATGTAACTATTTACAATTTCAAAATACGTAGTTAGGTACATTATAAATTATTATAACATACTTTAATTCTTCGAGTCTATTCAGTTGCCGCTTGCCAGCTTTGTCGAATTAAACAGTTTCAGTTCACAACAGTAGTTTCCTCCATTTTATTCTCATTCGGAGTCATTGCGTCAGTTATATTGGTATGTTTACTCTGATAAACAACACTGAAGTAACCTAATAATAACGTATCAGCAAGCATAAGTCCAGAGTATAGTAGGAATTCGTGTGCCTAAATAACAAAACAAAATCGATATAATATTAAATGAATACTATCAGCATTTAATTATTAAAACAAAATAATTAATAAAAACCTGATTTTGAAAAGAAATTGTTGAAATCATAATGACCAACAAATTTCCAAGTGCCACTGTCAATAATTTAAAAGAGGCTATGAATGACTTCATGCTTGTTGGGGCCTATATTGAATAAACAACAAAAATATCATACATAAAATATAAAAAATAAACAATTTATGAATTTTGTACTTGTAAAAATGATGAACATTTAAGCTGTACTATTTAATATTTATCACAGCATCCGAGTCAAAACGCGATAATAACATTTTAAACAATATATTTTCGTATATCCTTAGTATAAAAAGCGATATATTTCTATGAAGGAATAGAAATTAGTAATTCAATTTATCAAAAAAAAAAATCATACAAAACATGTGCTATACAAATGTTGTTCAAATATATGAATTTTATTAAGTTAAATAATATACCTATAACAATAATAATTTATTTACTATAATATAAAAAAAAAATGTATAAGCCTAACTATTAATAAACCGAAATCACTAAATTAAAAAAAACATACCTCAGTAAATGAAAATTTTATGTCAGTGGTCACGAATACGATGTCAGCCATACTCATAACCAAATATTGTGGAAGCTGCCACAAAATGTGAATGTAGTTCCCTTTGTCTTTGGTAAATAATCGTACATCCTATGAACATTTTTTTCTTGTTAGTTACTTTGTGCCTACTAAATTGGGTTGCAGTTCATTAAATATTATTTACAACCCGCAGGTGAAGTACCCTAAATTGTTACCAATTTATCGCCATTTCGTTGTAATGTAAGTGTATAAAACGTGCCTGGAATTATGTCCATAGTTGGTGTGGGCAGCATTTGTCCATTGTAGAATACATTATATCTATTTCAGATTTAATTACTCATGTTAAAGTTAGAACATTAATTGTAAACATTAATAATTGTAATGTAAAAAATGTATTGGATACTCACTTTCCTACCTTAATGACATTAAAGTTCATCCCTCGAAAACGAGCAAGAGAGTACGAAGTATACGAGGTTTGGTCTACACTGGTCAATGTAATATCATCATCAAAATCAAATGTATGATCGACCAAAATTCTAAAATAATATTTTGTTTCGGTTTTTTTAATATAGAAACTATTCTACAACTATATTCATTCATTGGATACTAACCTTAAATTTGGATTCCCAAACTTTTCTTTGACTGAACTGTCATGAATACCAATACGATTTAATCCAATCGTGTTTGAATTTAGTCGGGTCAAGTGATAAGAAATCTCCTAATAGGAATCAAAAACCGTGCGATACAAATACATTGACTAACTTACAAATTCAAAAAAGGTTACTAATACATTTTATAGGTAGCATAAAAAATATTTGGAAATATTGCAGGTACAACGTCAATGCCGGATTACAATCAATCCTTAATTATTTAAAGAGAAAAAACAGTGAATTATCTGGTTTTTGATTGATCCACTTCGAATTGGTCAAATTTTATGAACCAGTTCATAATAAGCTATACGATTTTTACTTTCAAAATATCATGATACTGAGTAATATTTATGAAACGTTAAGTAATATTGTATATTTAAATATTTTATAGAATCGAAATATTTACTTTTCCTTCGATTATTGTTACAGTGGTAGTGAACTCGTAGTTGTCTGACACAAAATTGCACTTTGATCTGAAACATAATGTGATTTCGACGTCTTTTGAGACATTCTGAGACGTGACTGCATGAGTGACGTTGAACATTTCGAGTGGGCCGATTTGATGTTGTACGTGTAACAACTTCGACTGTACGAACACGTTGCAATCGAATCCGTTAAAGATGTATAGCCGCCCTTGTCCAGATGGTATCTCAGTTGTGTTTCCCTTAAAAATACCAACCAGAAGCGAGTAAAATAAAGGTATGTGTGCTGAGACAATGTCTTACAACTATTTTTAACTGCAGTAGGGCCGCGAATACAAATGCTATAACTGCAAGGACACCGCAAAAGGTGAGCTTTTGTAATGGTTTACGCATACCAATCGCAGCAAACATCGGATACACAACGTCGTTAAAAAGGATTAGCACTGTTATTCCAATTGTCGGTACTAGCATCTGCATTTGATCGGGTTTGATTGTCCAGTCTAAGAAGTCCACGTGACCGTTCATTAGCGTGGCTTGTAACGTCCACCTTGAACCCTGTAGCAAAACGCATTGCACGTCAAATAGCTATAAATCCTTACGTATTTTAGGTTTGCATAGTCCTAAGTTAATTGGCCCAATTAAACATCCTGATTACTATTTACATGGCCGTTGGATGAATAGACGCAGTTCCATTTGGCGGGTCTGCAATTTTTGGTTGCCTCAGTCCCCAAAAATCACAACTCAACGCCATCTATCCTTTTTAAATTCGTCACACTTATCGATATAATCTATACTGTACCGGTTGTGCGTATAGTGACCAAAATACCGGATATGCCATGAATATGCAAATCACATCCAGGACAGACCTCGTGTCTGATATTTCTGATTCTGTGTACTTTCCCTTTGCGTTATCCAACCAGTGGGTTTTGCAGGGAGCGGTTGAAGTTATCTTCACTCGCAGCGCGTTCTTAAAATCAAAAAATATTTAACATGGAAATGACGATGATGCTTACAAAAACGTTTTTGTAATTTTAAGTAGATACGAATTAGCAATACTTACAAAAATACAACCAAACGTCCTGGTTATAACGTTTGGTTCTGGTTTTTTCTTCACGTACATGTTTTTACCAGATACGAAAATTGCTGCGATTTGTAAAATACATAGGTACTGTAGTTATAAGTATGTTAGAGAATGGATTTATTTTATGTCATTTTGTGGTTGATAATAAACTTATGATTGGGTTGTGATCATATGACAGTGTGGAGAAGGAGAGTTTTATTAAAGTAGATATTTTCCGTCCATTGAAAGTAAATTGTGGGTTTTATTATTACCTCTCTGAATGATAACTATTATAACTATCAGCTGCAGTATATACCTATGGAAATAAACATCACCATGGTCAGCACACCGAAAGCCAGCGGAAAACATGTGTCTTTTCCAAAACAATGTATGCTGTGCCTCAATTCGGGCATCACAAACGCTGAGACCAACAATCCAACGTATAGCGCCAACGTGTAATTAGTAGCGAAGTGTAGTAGCTGCTTTTCTTGATGGGGCAACTGAAATTGATCTCCACCGAGGGCGAAAGTGCACGGTTTTATGCCACCCATACCAACGGATATAAAAAATAACCCGAGGAGGGTGAAGATTCTAAAAAAAAAAAAAAATAATGATACAGATGTGAGATGGCGATTCGACATCTAGATCACGTACTAGATCGTATAATTAAGTATAAGAATAGGATTCACACACACAGTTGCGAAGCCACTGCCCTCCCGTTCTAACATTATAT